GAAACATATTGGCAGAGTATTGTCACTTACTACCAGGACATATGGATAGAGAATACATTCAAATTAATAAGAAATGCCAAATATCAAGGTACTCAATCACTGATAGCAGTGGACTATCATATGTTTTAATGTCAATTATATGAAAGTTAAGACTGAAACTACCTTTTACCTCATCATAACTAATGAAAAATTGTGTGAAGAAAAAATTCACAGCCTCTTTGAAGCACTTAGACCACTAAAAAACAAAAAAAATCACGTAAATATGTTGTGTCTCTTTCCCTCAAAACATCATATCGGATGGCGCCACTTTCGTCGACAGTTACTTATCTGCACGCAAATCGAGGAAAACGTGAATTAATTGACGTTTACGTGTTTCCAAATTTAACATCACAGCATATTCAAACTTTTCAGTGTACCTTTTAACATCTAAGTATAACTAAAACGATAAAAACTCACCTTCAACACAAGGACGACGACAACCACGCGACCGGAGACGTCGCGACGAAATAAACAAACGGCGCCGCCAAATGAAAAATCAGAGGTGGGCATCGCTACCGAAATTTGGAAACCGCTACCGCTACCTTCCGCAACCTAAGGTACCCAAAGCGCAATCGCAACTCCGAAACTATTTTGCAGATCGTAAAACCGCAACTCGCAACTCCGCAACTCCGCAACTCCGCTACCAACCTCTATTAGGTTCCTATGTTTTATCAGTTTTAGTCCTGAAGTGCAGTGTTATGTCTGACAGGTAGTACCTTTGGTTGACCTCTGTTGGTGACCTGACTGTTGGTGACCTCTGATGACGTCACGTGACCTATAATGCTCAATGCGCAAGTCATTGCGACACCAGTCGACGTAAATGACCTGCCAGTGCTACTCTTTGCATGTTTTAGTTGTTTGGGATCATTTTGCCGCAAATCCGGACGAGTTGTATTTTCTCCCATTGACTTATAATGAAGAGGTCACACAGTTGACCTTACCTTAAGTCACAAAAAAAATATGAGACAATACACTTTGTATCTATATCTTGTTACTCTTGTCACATGCAGACAGTTTCAAAGTGACCGGTCAATAGGTGTATCTATATTGCTATATTGCCCTGTATTGCTAGGGCGGGTGTTTAAATTTTTTTCGGAGATTGGGTCCCTTGACGTGACCTGGTGACCTGACCTGAGGTGACCTGGGTCTGACATGTTGATACAATGTGTGGAAAGGATGTGTTAATAGCAGTGTCGAAAACAGCCGCGCTGCCGCCGCCTTTTTTATATATTTGCGGAAAACCTTACGGAGGGGTGTCCAAACACCCCCCCCCCGCCCCCGGCCCCGTGCTGGCGACCATAAAATTTGACTTAACCCTCGCTGTGTGCGGTGTTTTACAGCGTCTAACGTGTACGTCGGTTGGACCCCCTCCCTCCCCCCTGCCGTTCGGCCCCTGATCGAGCTAGAGCTTCGCGGGAAAAAAAAAAAACGAGCGTGTTGCCCGTGACGAGAGGAAGCCGATGATACCCAATTTTAAGGTCATAGGTCATTGGTTGACCTTCCAGGCCAGGTCAATGACCCAAAAGTCGGGAAAATCGGACCTGCTAGAACTTCGTAAAGTGAAGCTTTTATGCTTTTTTGGGGGGGGGGGCGCTGATAACAAATTTCATGTTGGTTTTGATCAAAGATGACGTCTTCATGCATTTGGACCTGGTCGGGTCAGGTCAGGTCAGGTCAACCAGTAGGCGTCCTACCGCCTATCCAGTGTCAACCACCACTAAAAGCCTCGTAACATGTTACTAATGCACTAAAACTACTTCGTAAATGTTCAAACGGTCATTAAATTCGAAATCAGCTTCAAAAACTAGCCTGGAAACACGTGCAGTGTGCAGTGGAGAGCAAAGAGTACAGTGGCGCCCCCACCGGCGGTGGCGGCCCCGGTAGCGGTTGCGCTTTAGAATTTTTCGCTTCCGCAACTCGCAACTCCGCAACTTTTTTGGGCTCGGTAGCCGATCCGTAACTCCGCTACCAAGAGGGTAGTCCGCAAGTTGCGGAGTTGCGGAGTTGCGGATTAAGTTGCGCAATGCCCAGCTCTGTGAAAAATATTCTCCGATATGGGTAATGTGAAATTGAGTACCAATCATTTTGGGTAGTATGAAAAATGCTCTTTCCAACAGAACCCTAGTAAAAAACGTGAATGGACAAAAAATAACTTTTATTTCGACATAAGTATTGGCCTGTTTTTAAGGCATCCTGGTATGCCGTAAGATTTCGACCTAGAAATTGGTGCTCCCCCAATCATTGAAGCTTGAGCAGTGAAAAATATGAAAGCCTAATCTGTTTTGCATCATTTGTGATTCTCCTAGGGTGTTGCCATTTCTCCCTAGGTGTTGCGAGTTGCTTTTGCAAAACGTGTTCCTGAAACGGCTCAATTTTTTGAGCCCTCAGCATTACGCCTATGGGAGCCTCTGACGTCACACGCTCAATATTTTGAGCGCTCAATAATTTGAGCTTTTCCCCCTTGTGCGTGGGACTGAGATGGTGTCCAACGGTGCCGCCATGTTGCGCAGACCAGGAAGCGGCCGCCGCCTGTGTTGGGGAATAGGGAATTCGGGACCTCGATTTACGTTTGCGGTCGCTGCATCCGTTACGTTCAAGCTATGTGGACACGGAACCCGGCATCTTACGCAGAATTGAGTGGAGAATAAGATGAAATCCTAAAAATTTCTCAGATACAAGGAACTAATACGTTAAGCCCTTATAAGTCAATGGGGAAATATGAAAATTGCTATTTTGGCGCCGAGAATGATCTGAAACTATCTCAAGCATATAAAATCATGATTTCATGCACTCCTTGCAAGGTTCTATGCTTCATATTTGCATTGTTGCCCTTGCATGACGTCATTTGTGACGTCACAAGGGTCACAGTTTTTCTTCAATAACTCCCGATCAAATTGAGCTAGCGAGTCGGGAAAGCCACCAATGGACTCAGGAAGACCTGCCGAATCGAATGATATGCGACATGACCTCTTTCGACCAACTTCGTGACCTGGCGGTGCTGACCTGACCTTGACCTGAGGTCAACACCCTAAGTTGACCTGACCCGAACAAAAAGTATATCATTCGATGCGCCTGAGCTAGCTGAACACGATGATGCAAAATCGCGGCTCTACGGCCATTTTTGGCGAAGTTATTTACCAAAAACCGAACCCGTGCCTTAGATCACTTGACCTGCCCTCAGAGGTCACCGGTTGACCCGGGACCTTTACAGTGGGTTCCTACCAGTCACTCTGCATTATCCTTTGTCGCAAACGACCAATTTACCGCTTAATTCTAGTTTAATTAGCGGCGCATTAGCGAGGTGGGTTCAATCAACCCCCTCCGCCGGGGCAAATGTAGGTCCGGCGAGTGAATTTGAGGAATTCTGAAGATACAATCGTGTTCCCCACTCAATTCTGCGTAAGATGCCGGGTTCCGTATCTACGTAACTTGAACGTAACGGATGCGGCGGCCGCAAACGTAAATCGAGGTCCCGAATTCCCTATTCCTCAACACAGGCGGCAGCCGTTTCTTGGTCTGCGCAATATGGCCGCCACCGTTAGACACTACGGCCAATAGGGTTCAAGCGGCATTGCTCCCCTGTGATTTATCGGGGTTACATGAGCACAGTAAATACGTATTTAGCCGCTAATTCGAATTAGGAACGCATTACCGACTCATGTAGCCACCTGCTAGTACGAATCGGCGATCCGATCCGCGGTTACATGAGCAAAGCAAATACGTATCACGATCGGATTCACCGCTAATGCGAATCAGGAGCGTACTACCGACTCATGTATCCACCTGCTAATACGAATCGGCGGTCCGAACAAAATCCGCAGAGAAAGAGGCTTAGAAGCGAATAGGACCAAGATACGTATTACAGGAACTATTTCTTTCCAAAAAGATACATTAAAATGCAAAATAATAGGTATTTTATTCATTTGCTTCTTTTGAAATAATAATTTAAAAAATATGTCGGTATTTTGTCAATAAATATAGTGAAAACCAAAAAGAAAATATCAAAGTACTTTCAGTTGAAACATTTTTCTGACAGCACTACAGACGAATCAAGAGAGGCAAGTGCTCAATGAGTCAAAGCAAGACAACTTTATGTTTAAAGGGACCCTCCCACCTTCATAAAAGTTAATGAATTGGCATGAAAGTGATGTCGCTCGGTTCAGAAAGAGCAAAAACGAATATCTACCAAATTTCATCGAAAAATATTCACCGGTTTTCAAGATATTAGACTTTTACTTTTGTTTACTTTTTGGGATCTCCGCGGTTCCTAGCGACTTTATTTGAAAGTGCGGCATTTGTTGCGCGCAAAGCAGCATATACCACCGCGTGCTACAAAACGTTTTAGTCAAACATTAAACGGACATTCGAAAGCCTGATGACGTCATCAGATTCCCGTAATGGTTAAGAGATAGGGACCACGCTGGTCCCACCCTGCAAGTAAAGGGAAGAGATTTCTTGAACACCATAAAGCTGCGGGGGTTGCGACCAGGATAAATGGTGGTTTCTGAGCCTGGCCGCAAACTTGGCTATCTCAACTCAAAACTAATGTTAAGGTGGGAGGGTCCCTTTAACTTTTTCTTGTTAAGCTAATTGAGAATGTTTAGAGCAGATTAAATGCAAAAAAGACATAATATATTAAGTCTTTAATTCAGTCACCTCTATTGCTACGGAAGTGCGCCACATTTGTATGCTATTCCGTTTGTAATGCGCATCGGGCCGAGAGCCAAACTAGATCCGTTTGACGTCACTGATACGAATTTGCTCATGTAGTCGGTGCACTGAATGCGTTCTTGGGGGCGTATTTACAAATTGCAACCGAGCTCCGCCGTGGGGTAAGGTGGGCAGGGGTTTTCGCACTACGGCTGCGGTTGAACTACCGTCTGTGGTAGAAACTTCAGGACGATGGCGCGTTTCATACGAAATCTGGCGCAATGTTTGTTTGCTTCTGAACTTGTACTGTTATTGCCAGTTATTGCTGTGAATTATTGAAGTGGGAGTGTTTCAATAACAATTTGTGGATTACCTATTTGAGTTTCTTTATATAAACATAGAATAGTATTATGAAACATTGTGTGGAAACTGCAAATACTGATATGATCAATTACTTTGTTTGGGAATTGATACACATTTTGTAGAGATTTGTCTGGCAAATCAAAATGAAATGGTGTAACAAACCTCAAGCCTATCATGATCTGAAGCTGTTGTAACAAATCAAAATTGCTTTGATGTTACATACTACATAGTACCTTGTTGGAAAGACTGGAGCATGGTTCAAGATGATGTGTAAAAATTCAAGATTTGTGCGAAAGCTTGTGACTGAAGAACGAAAGCAGTTCGATATGATGGCTCAATCAAACGTGGAAATGGACGACAAAAGTAGAGTTTCAACGTTCCAGCATGTGAGAATAACTTAAGAAATTCATAGTTCTTGTAGTATTGCATTCTTTTTATGTACAGTTATAGGTGTTGTTAGGGTATTTCAAATTCATTGTGTCAGTTGAGATATAGATGGATAGCGGAAAATTTTAGAATCATTGCATGGTAGCTAGGTACTTGTTCGGTAAAAAGGTATGTGATGAATGCCATGAGAAGGTTTTTATGATTCAATATATGGTCGTTGTTGTACCAACAAAAATGCAAGCTTACTAGCAACTAGTTTCTGAATCAAATCGAAAGTATGTTTTGCCATGAATGTAAATATGTACCTGCAAAGCATGTCAATAAATTTGTGTGATGTTGACCAGAGAGTTTTATCATCTGGGCATTTATGTCGCTTCTTACATTAGGTGTTAAGCATAGTAATTACGGATGAACTTTGTGCCAATATCTTCAATGCACAATGTATGTAGCATGTCTACAACCCTCACTGATCCTGCTATAGCTATAGGCATTTGGCACCAGCTTGACCAAGGGCATGAACTTCACAGTTGCACAACCTTTTGTCATGTACCACCAGCCACTTTTTTACTTAAGGTGCACATAGCACTGCAGTGCACACAACAATGTGCAGAGGGCCTACACAAAAACAACATGATTAGTGTGCACTATGCACAGCATTGTACCCTGATTATTTGAATATTTTGATCACTCAACAGTCAGCAGTCAGGAGATAATTATTGAATATCACATTTATTATACATCACTTGTCAAACAAGAGCATGATGACACACATTTTGACAAGCAATCATGGTAGTATTCCAATAAGTTGGACAGTCACCTCCCTGGGCGTCATTTTTCCAGGAAGGTACCTACCTCTGCAGGTGTTGTGGTAGGCTAGGTTGAATTGGGTTAAGTTAGGCGAAGTAAGGTGGTTAGGACCAGGTCAGACCGTAAGGCCTGGTCAGGTTGATTTTAATCTTTCATTCTAATTTGACATAGATACCTATTACCTATGTTTTTGCTCAAGCCTGAAAATACACTACGGCGGAAATAAAATACCCTACGGCGGAGCTCGGTTGCAATTTGTAAATACGCTTCTTGGGGAGCTGATGCGAATTAGCGTAGTGCGTATTTGGAACGGATCGCTCATGTAACCGAGGTATTCGATTCGGGCCGTATTTCACAAGAACTATTCTTTGCTGACTGGAAGCGTCAAAATGCAAAATACTAAGCATTTTTTTATTGGCTGCCTCGTAGAAAATAGCAAAAAAAAAAATGTTGGCATTTTGGTTTAGTCTTTGCATGTGAAATGAAATGAATGAAATATTTTGATAGATAATTTTTTCTGACCACCCTGCTGTCGCTGCATGGCGAATCAGTGCCCACTGACTTAAAACAAGAAAACTTTGTTTTCATTTTTTGATTTCATGTTAATTTTAAATGTTTTTGAGCCTATCAAATGATAAAAGTATTTAAAATTTAGTTCAGTCGTCCCGGTAAATGCCGCAACTGCGCCATGACTGTACGCTAATCCTATTCCGTTTGTGATGCGAATTACCGGCCGTCGAGGAGTCAGCCCGGGTGAGCCAAACAAGATCCGTTTGACGTAGATAAAACGAATTAGTCTCATGTAACCGGTGCCGTAGATACGTTTGTGGGGAGCTGATGCGCATTAGCGTAGTGCGTATTTGGAACGGATCGCTCATGTAACCCCGGTAAATCAGCTTTTGGAGTTCAAGTTGTTTTGGAGCGAGCTTGATCTTGATTATCGAGTGTTTTCCTGGGATTTCTTGTTTTTCGTAATTGATTGTGGTAGATCGGTAAGTTGATGTTAATTCTTTAATGACAAATTTTAAGCTTTGAGCGAACTTACCCTCTCATTTGAAATATGTGTGTTTATTTGACTGGCAAAGCCGCAAAGGTCTCCATTCCAACATGGAGCATTCATGAGCATTCCAACATAGTGCCTTTCCGTCTGCGCCGTGACTGTCGCAGACGCGTTATGCCCTTATATAGGTTCCATATAACAGCATAGGTTTATTGGACTCAAGGCCCAAAAATAAGGTTAAAAAAGAGGCCAATGTAATCGAAATATATTCTTTATATATGTAATTATACTATTATATGACCCAACGTGCTAGTTTTCCAAGAACTATAATAAATAAAATTTTGTTCTGATGATCTGTTCAGAATGATGTGGTTATATGCGTAATACGCCATCGGTCGGGCCATCAGGGCTGTCTCATCCTTATCTCTGTTAAGTGTCATGTATGTCCAGGGACTTCTCGTGAAAGCAATTTTTTTGTGGTCTCGGTCACAGACACCTAAACATAGGTCCCCCTTCAAAAATTGGTTCCTATAATGCAGGCATTCTATATGGAAACTCGCTTCTAGGGTTTCCAGGTAATCTTATTGACAATCTTTTTTCAGACAAAGCTTACTATTCTTACCACAATTTCAGCTAAGCTGCACAGCCTGTTGTCAACAGGACAACAGTACTGTTTGGCCCAAGATGTTTAGCTGCTGTTTTTTCATCATGCTTCTGGTTTTTCAATGTCTGTCCCGTAGCTCAGTTGGTAGAGCATTGGACTCCCGAGTCCCGGTAGTGAGAGCCCAGTTCCAGACGCTCCAGCGCTTGATATTTGAGACTCCTGATGGGGATGGTCTTGGGTTGGTGGGAGCAGTGGGACAGGCCGTGTCCCGCTTGGAAGGGCACGTTAAACTTTAGCATAAAAAATTTCCCGTTAGGAATTGCAGATCGGACGGTAGGGGTCGGGGCTCTGTCAATCCGTCCATTCAAACATTGAACCTAAATTTATTTTTAAAAAATGATTCTTGGCCTCTCATTGGTTAACCGGACAGACCATGTGAATTCAACCAATGAGAAGTTCAACAATAAAAAGAGCGCTGGATGGATCTATGAACTTAGTGGAGCCAACCATGCACAACTTTTGAAACCATGTTTGCAAGTTTCTTATGCCAATAGGCAACAAGTGCCACAAAGCCATGGACTGAGTTGTGATGTGTAATCACATGAGATAGCCAAACCAGAACTTATGTTAGTTGCAACAGTTGAATTTTAGAGCTGGATTGATGATCCCATCAGATCCAATACCAGGATCTGTGGATACAGTTCCAGATGTACATTTTCTTGGATCCATGGACAAGGACATATCTGCTCATCACAGTGTTGATTCTGGGCCCACAGTGACGAAAGCACTCCAGGGCAAATCCACATTCTGAACTGCACTGCACACTAACTGAGTGCCCCTGCACAAGGTCTTGTCCAGATTGCCATGCTTTGCAGTCTGGTCATCCTGCACTTGTGCATGTGCAAATTGGGTCCCTACTGACTTAAACACTGCAGCTTACTCACAGTACCCTAACTGTGCTCAAAATTGATGTCTTTTCTACCCCCTTTTCTAGTAAGCTTCACACCCCAGATGCCCATAGTTTACAACACCCTACATTTACTGACCACCCTCTCTGCTTACTCAGTTCCAGACAGCACCAGTCAGTCAGTATGCCGTCAGCGACAAATGGTCGAGGCGCCGGGCTGGATGTGGACAAAGTGGCCGAGGAGGCAGAGTCCATGTTCAGACGGGCACTGGACGACGTCAAGAGTGGCTCCACCTACAAACAGCTTGGCTGGGGCGCTGCCGCCGGATGGTAGGTGTCGGGTGGTCTGATAGTATTCTGATAGATAGTGGGTTCATTCAGACATTTCATCGTCAGTGACTGATGGCTTGCCAGGTGATGGTATATGAAAGCATGTTGCCAGTAGTGGATAGTGATCATTAATTTAAAACCTTGTTGCTTATTGCTGCTTGTTTTTTCCTCAAGTATTGTGCAAACTACAAATGAAACCTATTGTCAATCCATATGGAGTTTTAGTCTAATCCTGTGCCACGGTCATCCTGAATGCAAAGTAAAATTAGGCTGCCCTACCAGTTGGCTGATGGCTTCAATGAATTTAACAGATCCCAAATGCCTTATTTCAACCTTGATAGTCCGGTGACCATGTTGACGCCTCTGCCTGCGTCTATGCAGGGTCACCGGCTACCTGGGTATGAAGGTCGGCAAGCTGGCGGCGATGACGCTCGGCGGCTCCCTGCTCGTGATGCAGGTGGCCAACCACAAGGGCTACATCAACGTCAACTGGGCCAAGGTCAACCACGACATCCGCGAGATCAGCGAGAAGGTGCAGGACGACGTCAAGAGCGCCGCGCCCGGAGCGGCCGGAGAGGTGAGCCGGGCACGGGAGAGGGTGAACTCGGCAGGGTGCTACCAGCTGATTAAAGGAAGTTTAGGCTTGATGAAAAGGAGTTCAGGCTTGATGAGGTTCTCTGTACGATTTTGTATCTCTTATGAAGTATATTGTGTTGTAATAGAATAGCAATCTGATGAACAAATTACTAAAGAATTACTTACAAATTACTTATTATCATATGCATCCTTTTATGTCATGAGTGAAACGTGGTGCCACGATTTGGAAAATTGTCTCATAAAATGAGGCTGGTAATACATCCAGTGGTGAGATTGGGTCGTTACTTGTTAAAATACTTCATATATTTTTCTGTCCGGGCCCGGGGTGATGCTATTTATTTCCGGTTTACCTCGAAATATGACCGAGTTTCTAGAGCGCTGCCGCTGTCGGAGCCAGACCCTAACATGTGGCGATCTCGTTTTGTTTCAGGTGAAGAAGTTCGCCTTGGAGAACAAATACGTCGCGGCTGGGTTCACTGGCGGGTTCCTGATCGGCCTCTCCTGCTCCTGAGTGGTCTCCGCGCCGTTTCCTGCTCCTAGTGTCGGCCGGTTCTCCTCTCCCGGTCAGTCGGGGCTCCCCAGGGGTCACGGGTCAGCCCTGTCCCGCTCGGGGTCCAGCCGGGCGGTGGGTCACCCCTGGAACTCTGCCTCGTGGTGAGGTGCGTCCCAAGACCGCCGTGCCCGGCCCAGAGGGCGCTGGGGTCTCAGCGGCCGGTGCTGTGGCGACTGAGAGTGATACAGCGGCTGACGGGCGGTGTTGGCCGCTCGAGAGTGGCGCCGCTACAGCCGGGTCCCCGCTGGTATTGTCTTCTGCCAGGGGCTTCCTTGGTTTGTAGGCGTTATAATCAAACTCAGTGTGATTGGTGCTAGTTGGTGAAGACAATGATCTGTTGCTGTACTATGATGGCTAGCTGTTTGTTTCTAATCCTGCGATGATTTTTCTCATTTGATCTTAGCTCATCTAGCCTTCTGAGTCTTATGATTTCTGTCAAATCGTCTTTCTGCTTTGGCACTTTGAGTAGCGGTATGGGTATCAACTCATGAGGCCGGAGATGTGGAAGCGAGACTCAGCCACTCGGTCTTAAGTCGTTTGTAGGACAATAACCGGTTAGTGACTTATTCTGCGTTGTTTGCCAGTGGCTGCTTTACCAATGCGTGTTAGGGCTGTGCAAGATCAACAGTTTCAGCCGCGTTTGATGGGACTGGACGCGGATTATCGGAAACGTAAGCTGCACATTTTCTCGTGGTGACTCGTATTTGAGAATAGGTGTATATTTTCCCGCATTGTGTCTGATGAATTGGCTTTTGTGCACAATAGCGTCAATAAATGATCAGTTGAATGCATACCGTCTGTATTCTTGGAACACGAACTCGACCAGCGACCTGAGTGACAATGTCCTGACGATACTCGCTATTTGTTTTAAGTCTCTTATCGAATTGGCTTTCCTCGATGCAAAAAGCAAAGAGAAGCAAAAAAACCGTTGAATCGAAGGCCCAGTGTGTGATTTCACAGGAGTTCTACTTTCTGTTAGCTTTAGCAGTTGCATGCGTTGCCGTTTTCATCTCTAGGAAATAAATGCCTGCTCGTTGTATTGAGAGCTTTGGTTACATAACCTGTAGCGTCATGTTTTGTCCGATCTCTATCCTCCCCTACCAATGAATAAGCATGAACAGTTTAGAGATATGCATACTTTGGAGCCTCGGCATGAACCAAGTCCGTTAGTCGCGAGTATTTTTACGCCGTAGCTGTTTCCGGACTCAGAAAAAGTGTATAACAGGTACTTATCACATTTGATCGATTTTGATGTTTTCACCCAATCTGAAGTTTTTTGCTACGATTCACACTATCTACTGAAGATGTGCTCCAAATGATCCACCTCGCATTTTCCCTTCACTGTCATCCCCAGCACCCCTCCCCCTGACCGGTGACCTGTGACCATCCTCCCCCTCTCTCCCTCCCCCTCTCCCAGGGGCGGCCGCCGTCCGCCGGCGCCTGGAGGGGCCGGGCCGGCGGCGACGCCTCATTCCCCTCGGAGGCGCGGAGCTGCGAGGATGGGGCCGCGCGCCGCCCTCCTCCTGGCTGCCCTCGGGGCGGTCAGCCGCGCGCAGGTGCTCACACCGCCCATTTTTAACCTGGCGGAGAACAAGGAGATCACGGCGACGGCGACCTGCGGAGAGGACGTGTCCGAGCCGGAGCTCTACTGCCAGCTGACCGGCGGTAACGCCGACAAAGAGGTCAAGGTGCAACTCATCCAGGGACAGGTCAGTAGCCGTGGGCGCCCGATTGTTTTGAGCTTTACCATTTGATGTGTCGTTACCTGAAGGCTTCGAGCCCCATCGCCTTGCTCATCAAATTGAAGCTATGCTGATGAACCTGACTACCGCCCGTTGTCCCGACTTCGGAGCCGAAAGGACATACGAGACGTTTTCCGCGAGGCAGTCGTAATAAGTGACAAGAAAAAAAAAAACAAGTCGCGTATCATGTGAACCCTGCCCCATCTGAAGTAACAATAATCTGACCCACGGGCCATACTGACGTGACTGGACAACTGTGCTGTTTGTGTCGTATCAGCGGCAAACCAGCAGTGATGTAGTTGTTGTTTGTTAGTGCAGTTTTATGCATCGAGTTATGCCGCAGTTCGTTTTTTTTACGGTGCAGTCGTGTGGATTTGCCGAACGAGAGAGAACCGGACATAAGATAACGAACAAAGAGGAATACGTAGCTTTTATTACGGGTCCCCGGGCCTGCTATCACGAGTGAACGTGAAAATGCAGATTCCGTGCTTTCAAACCTGGCTCAAAGATCGAGCGACACGGTCTGCTTGGTGCTCCTTGCTTGCACTGCTCATTTAGGTGTAGGTATTTGTTTGTTGGCCTCGGACAGTTTACTATCATTTTTAATAGTTGCGTTGAAGCTTGGAAGGGTTTATCGGTCCGGCGATAGACGAGTATGCCGTATTTTTGATTATTGTGACCCCATTCCCCAGGCCTCAATAATTGGCGGGTCGCAACCCATTACCCGCAGATCTAAGATGACTATGACTTCAAAGATAGGTGACCTGCAATTTTACAGCTACCATAACCGCTAACCAGTGACCTGACCTAACCTGTGCCTAGGTATGCGACTACTGCGACCCGAGCGACCCAGAACGCTCCCATCCGGCCAGTAACGCCATCGACGGCTCGGAGAGGTGGTGGCAGTCACCCCCTCTCTCCAGAGGCAGCGCCTACAATGAGGTCAACGTCACACTCGACCTCGGACAGGTCAGTCACGGGTCACGTGGGATCTGACCTCCGACAGGTCAGTCGCCGGTCACATGGGAATGGACCTCGGACAGGTCAGTCTCGGGTCACATGGGAACTGACCTCATACGGGTCAGTCGCCGGTCACGAGGGAACGGGCCTCGGTTTGGATCAATCACGAGTGCACAATGCACATTTCAGTTGTGGTAAGTATTTGAACAGTGATATGCTCGCTAGCCTTTTGTGATCGGAAAATGTCATCGAACGCAACCGGAGCTGGTTCAAAAGTATCAAAAGTATGTACATAATAACATCTGATTGGCCAATTGGTAAAGCTAGACTTAATTAGAAAAAATGTAAGTTCTACCGTAGAGGTCAAAAACTGAAGTAAACCGCATTCGACGAAAGCATTACCCGGCCCCTATCCATTTTCGTTGTGCCTCGTTTTTTTTTGTGATATCTCTGCTGGCGGCGCGGACCGTTTCCGGACGGCGGCCATTCTGTGGGCCAGCTGCAGAGAGCCTGTCTATCTGACCACATCCCGTGCGAGCAGCGGTCTGTTCGTCCGGCCGCTCGTCTTCCCGCCGCCACCACCCGTCCCTGCTCCAGAGCTCTGGTCCGTCAGACCCTCTGCACAACCTCTCCAGGCCCCCATACCCTCTACCCAGACTGACGAACGCTTTAGAATCTCCAGACCCGATGCACAGACGCTCCAGGTTTGTTGCCGCCCTCGCCCCACAGCGGGTCCTATGGCCCGCAGCTGCGCCGCTACCCTCCCTTCTCTCTATCCATCGGAGGCGACTTTCTGCCCCCCCCCCCCCGCTGCTGCGTCGACCCTGTCTCCGACGGCGCCGACGCTGATTTCTCCGCCCCTCCCCATCCCCATCATCGTCGTCACAGTCGCGGCGGGCACTCCAGTCGGCCCCAAGACTTCATCTCACGTTTCGACCGCCGTTTTCCTGAGCCGCCGCCCCTAACACAGACACATCTGTCGACGAGCGACGGAGCTGCTGGGTGGTCTCTGCCCTGCCCCTGGAAAGGGAAGAGGGTCGGGGAACGACGGGGAGCAAGAGAAGGGGACGAAGAGTCGGGAGAGCCGGTGGGAAGTCAGTGGGGAGGGGGACTGTTGGGGGACTGCAGAGAGAGTCGAATTACCGGGCGGCCGGCAAGACGTTAGACCTGGTGGTGGCGAGACTTTACAGTCTACAGTCGACGTGGTATAATCTTTGGAATTAGGAAGTAAGGTCGGTTCGAGGGGAATTTCAGCTCAATTTGAGATTGCAAGATCCGTCTCCAGATCTCTTGGCTGCCAGTGGTTATTTATAAACGCGAGCAAACTTATGAGAACTCAGCGCATAACCGCCGGCTGGACCGATAAGGAATTGGTTATGTAATTTTAAACCGCAAATTAGTTCACGATTATCGTCATTACCGAAATATACCTAGCTAAAACATTTCTTCTGAACGAACTAATTGAACTGAACATCTCTTTTCATGACTGTGCAACTATGCGTAAATGCTCGCGAGTTCAAAGTCTGCTTCAGTTCATCCACCACGCGCCATGCACCACAAAGCCAGGACACCGGACTCCGTCTCCCGCTGTCACGCAGGAAGCGAGCCGTGCGGGCCGGGACAGTGTGTGCGCGCGTCTGCACTGCGTTTGGGCTCAGTTGAGGAGACCCAGAGCTCCCTTGATGGTCGGCCGGCGCGCGGTCGTCCCCTCTGTCCAGATGTCCAGTCAGGGGCGGCTCCAGGACGGATGCTGACGACGGCAGAGGGGTCGAACACATATTCCGAATGGTTACAGTGGCTGGGAAGAGCGGGGTCTCCGAAAGTGGCCATTACGTTGGATAGGTTGTTGATATTCTGGCTATCAAAATTTGATAGATACTGGTAAGAGTGGATAGGTATGCGATCGGGAAAGGCGTCCGAGTACCCCACATTCGCCTTTGGTTCGACCTAGAACAATAGGAAAAGGGTCGCGTAAAATAAGTCTAAGTCTTTTATCTTTTTAAGTCATTTATCCAGGCGCCCATAATATCCGAGCCTTTTATCCGCAGATGACACCATGATATCCCAATATAGCGCTCGACCGTCTACTCGTAAGTATCGATGTAGCGCCACGAATAAAAAATCGTGTCATCTTAGGAACCGATTACGGTCTCGGGAACCCTGTACATTGTACAACGGGACCCCCCACAGCCGAACACATGAGCAGGCCCTCACCAGTGATTCTACTCGGTCCAAGCCTCTGCACCTTCCCATTTCATGCCTCTGAATGCGCGTGTGCGCCGAGTCTGTCCGTCTCAAGCCGGTCTTGTTTGTTAATTGGGGCTTTAGGGCGCGCCGACTACTTAGGTCTCAAGCCGGTCTAGTTTCAGACGGCTCTACATAAACACGACTCGAGTCTCCGGCGGGGTGACTGCTCGTTTCGTCCTCTGGATCTCATCACCAGACCGCGGGGGAAGGGAGGGGGTACTGCATGTCCGGCACGTATTATATACAATTATACACAGAGTGAATACCATGTGATGGGTGTCGCCCCCGCTGGAATGAGCATTTTTTTCAACGCACTCGCAGAACTCGTCGACGAACGGTTGATGTTAAACTGTACAGGCTTTGAAAATATTGCTAATGCTCATTGATGTAGGCATCCTGCGCTCTGATGTTTGCTGCATATTAGGGCAAATTCACGTTGCTTTTTCTTTACGTCTTCACGTCACATTCACGTCTTCGATGCAACTGTGTTCAGTCTTTTGAAAGTCGGAATGTTTCAGACGTATGAGGAGAATGTAAAAAGTTCTGTAAACCGAGCTACCCCACCGGATAACAATAACAAATAGACGGCGTGCCTGGTGGTTAGTAACCACACATATACCGGCTAGGTGCCGTCTCATTCCGTGCTGCCGTCATAACTGTGTATAGTGTATACGGAATATGACTGGGATGACCTCACCATGCCAGCTGCAGAGTGCATTCACTTCACTGTGTTACATGCACTACACAGGCCCACAGACTTCCTGGGTAACCGGTCACCGACTCACAGGCCTCCCATATCACGAGAGAGTCACGGGCACTCCAAAGTCGTCAAAGTCAGCGAATAATGTCACCGTGGAGTCCACAGTGACTGTCATAGCCGTGCGTTGCTATAGATCTGGTCAGCCTGCCACGGACGGGCCACCTCAAAGTCGCTCCGGGATATATTGAATCAAGGGCCATCTCCCGCCTCCCCATCATACCGTGACCTCATCTCACCGTCCCCTCTGCAACCTCACGGTGACCTGTATGTATGCATATTGACCTCATCGTGTCACACGGGTCATGGGATCGCGGTGAACCTGATAAAAATGCTTACCACATCACTGGGTACTGGGCAGCCCCGACCCACCGCGGTGAGCTTCATGCCAGACGCCGGACGTGGCGCTAAGAAGTCTGGGTTAAGATAGTGGCGCAGACGGTCATTGTGGTGAGGACTTGTGGAGCTGAAAGGGCGGAGCTGCCGACAGTGGTAGCTTATTTCATAAAGCCTTCCTCCTCCGGCACAATGGTGGAGTGGCTAAGTATGTACATATAATGAAAAATCACTCATAGTTGTTTTACATGAAAATGAACGCATATAAATGTGAGTATAATGCGCTGGAGTCTGTCTCTCTATTTCTGGCTGCCATTTTTGGCTTACATAACAGACCCCCGCCAGCTTGGCCTGGCCTCCCGGCGACCACTGGCGAGGCCCCGCGCTGGCAGGATACAGATAACCGCCCGGCGCCGGGTCTGACGGAAGGAAGGCGCCTCACTGGCCGGAGGAGAGGCGAGGACCGTCTGTCTGAGATTGCACGTGTCCAGAACGCGGGCGGATGCAGGAAGTGCTGCTTCCTGCGGTCTCTGCGCCTTGGCAGAGAAGGAGGGGGGGGGGGGACTGTTCCGTCGGTCGACAGTGATAGGACGGTTGGAGACGGGAGGCGGACGAGGAGGTGGACAAGACAGAATGTACGGACGAAACGAGAGGAGGAGGCCGTGGACAAGGAGGGGTGAAGGGATTGAGCAAAGGTGAAGGGTCACACAAGCTAGATGTTCGACCATAGCGAGTAAAGCGGAGGAAGGGAAAACTGAACCAAAAGTGTTGGAGGCACAAGATACAATTGACACAGGTGCCACGTATGAAACAGGAAAGGACGGATGAAGGGTGGATTATCGATTTAGGGTTCTTGACCTGTCTGTCCTCTCCCTGTCCGCCTTTTCCTACTCTCCTGAGGCTCGCTGGACGGTGTCCTCCCCTGAATTGACCAGACTTGACCCACCCCTCCCACTGACAGGAGTTCCATGTCGCCTACGTGTTCATCCGGATGGCCAACTCGCCCCGGCCGGGCGTCTGGGTGCTGGAGCGTTCCCGCGACCACGGCAAGACCTACGAGCCCTGGAGCTACTTCGCCGATACGCCCAGGTATGGATATTGTCTTTGAATTCTGCATGTTGCTCACTGCTGAGGCGGGCAGTTTATGACGCATTGCAATCATCTTAATACCGTTTTCAACTCTTACAACAAGAACAGATTTCCCTTTACCCACATGAAATAATGAATTCTCTCTTTCTGACGAAAACTGATTAATGAAAGTAACATTTGTTTTTATACCTGAGTCCTAAGTCCGACCCGCACTCTACTTACAGTGACTGCCAAACGTACTTCGGAAGTGAGAGTCTCAAGCCCATCATGAACGACGATGATGTACGCTGCGAGACACAGTACTCCAAGGTGGTCCCCCTGGAAAACGGAGAGGTGAGTGGCAACGTGACCTTCTCTGGAATCCGATAAAGTACTTGCATGTTGGTCTTCCACATATTGATCCTTGCTAATGCACCTTATTCTTCTTTTCTTTTTAATCTGGAAGGTGGAGAACGCAACCCTGTGTGGCATGCCACACCATTACGACAGGCTCTCGACGAAATCATGATTACGCTTAGCACCGTTCATGCACCTACCTCGCCTAACCTCCCCACCCTCACTGCGTTTCTCAGATTCCGTTTTCGTTGCTGAACGGCCGCCCGTCCAAGGACCTGTTCACCAACTCCACGGTCCTACGGGAGTGGACGCGTGCCACCAACATCCGACTGCGTCTGCTGCGCGCCAAGACGCTGCTCGGACACCTGATGTCCGTTGCGCAGCAGGTCCCCACTGTTACTCGGAGGGTGAGTGGAATGAAGGACGTGTGGACGGCTGGGATGGACGGCTGGGGTGGATGTGGAGGGTGTTTGTAGCACAGCAGGTGCCCATCGTTACTCGGAGGGTGAGTGGATCGTGGGATGTGGATATGTGGTGTTGGAGGGAATAGATGGTGTGCATATGGACGGTTAAGTGGACGATTGATGTGGACGATTTATTTTTGAATGCGATGGATGACGTAGGTGGGTGATGTGAACAGTGGATACAGAGGGGGAGGTGGACTGATTATGTGAACTGATATGTGGGCATGCTGAGTAGAAGATTAATGTAGTCGAAAGGTGAAATGGATGGAAAAGGAAGGTTGGTAAGTGACACAATCACATTCCGTATTTGAGTGTGCGATTAGTGTGCTTCGACCATCCACACAACCCGCACACAGCGCCACTTAACCTTCCCTCTTCTCTCCCACCAGTACTTCTACTCGATCAAGGACATCAGTGTGGGCGGCCGGTGCGTGTGTAACGGCCACGCCGACCTGTGCGATCCATCTGCCGAGGACCAGTACCGCCTGCTCTGTCGGTGTCAGCACAACACCTGCGGCGACCAGTGCCAGGAGTGCTGCCCGCCCTTCGTGCAGAAAAAGTGGAAACCGGCCTCCTATGCGGATGCCTTCCAGTGCGAACGTGAGTTTTGGGTGGTACGGGGTACTTGAGATCGATATGATGCATGTAGATATATCCAAGGCCCAACGCAAATTTCGAATCACCAACTATATGATTATTACTTGTATTTCTTGTATATATCGACGTTGATGTGCGATCGGTGATGCTCCTTTCGTTCCATGACACGTCTGCTCGTTGCTATGCTTCATCCTGTAACTGTCACGACAACTCTGACCAAACCTGCCCGTGTCCGTAGCATGTAACTCTTATTCTGACACACTCTGTCCGTATTTCTCCCTCAGCCTGTAACTGTCACGGCCACTCTGACGAACCTTACCCGTGTCTCTGTCTCAGTCTGTGACTAGTTTGACGAGCTGTGTCCGTATTTCTGCCGCAGCCTGTAACTGCCACGGCCACTCTGACCAACCTTACCCGTGTCTCTGTCTCAGTCTGTGACTCTGACGAGCTGTGTCCGTATTTCTCCCTCAGCCTGTAACTGCCACGGCCGCTCTGACCAACCTTACCCGTGTCTCTGTCTCAGTCTGTGACTAGTTTGACGAGCTGTGTCCGTATTTCTGCCGCAGCCTGTAACTGCCACGGCCACTCTGACGAACCCTGCAGCCCTGTCTTACCCTTTAACTCCGAATCTGACCAACCTTACTCGTCCCTCAGCCTGTAACTGTCACGGCCACTCTGACGAGTGCGAATACAGCGAGGAGGTGGAGGCGGAACGACTCTCTCTCGATATCTACGGAAACTACGAGGGTGAGCCGTGGGCCCTGGGACAGGGCTGTGGTGGGGATAATCTGTGGGCAAATACCAGAATGATAGGCATAATTCGTAAACGGCAAGCATGCTTCTGCTTATTTGCCTAGGGTTGCCTGGTATTTGCTGGTTCGTGTCAAAACTGCCGTGGCCACTCGACCGGTATATTAACTGCCACATTTGACTGACTGTCGTATTATCCTGACAGGCGGCGGTGTGTGCCAGAACTGCCGTCACCACACGACCGGTATCAACTGCCACGAGTGTGAAAACGGCTTCTTCCGGCCGGTCGGCGTCGCTCTCGACTCTGCGGACGTCTGCCAGCGTGAGTAAAGAGTCAAAGACCCGAGTCGGGGTCGAGACGGAACAATCAAACCGTGGTTACTGTTAGCTCTGGACGTTACAATGGTTCATTCATTCATCCATTCATTCATTCATTCATTCATTCATTCATTCATTCCAAATCTGTCTCACATGGTACAGTTCCAGCATAACAGATACTTCTGCATATCCTTCGGGGTTAGTTCTTTCACTGTTCTTCGTCACATATTCTTACGCGGATTCCTGCATCCCATATCTTCTTCAAAACTTTACTGTCTCATATCGGCTCGGCTCGACACGTCACGTATAATTCACCCCTGACTCCCTCCCCCCCCCCCCCAGCGTGCGACTGTGCGTTCCACTACTCGACGGGTAACTGCGCCGAGGGCACGGGCAAGTGCGAGTGCCGCCCCGAGTTTCAGGCACCGGACTGTGACGATTGCAGCTACGGCTACTATGGCTACCCGGACTGCCGGCCGTGCGACTGCCATCTGGTGAGAGGGACTAGCGCCGGACATGTATAGAGTTATAGAATGGGGTGAATGAAGTCACTGGCTAGAAAGGAGTGAACACTTTGGTAACTTGGGATCAACGGATCGTGATACATTGACATTTTTTAGCCATCAATTGTAGATGCTAGATCGCTGTCTCGTAATTACTGATTGGCTGATTTGGCGTCATTATATTATAGATATCCACATTGTGAAGTGCATACCTAATAAGTGAAGAGAACAACACTTGTTCTCTTAGTGCCATTCTCCTCGCTCACGGCCTCTGCTTACCATCGGCATCTAACGTGCTCCCTAGAACGGCACCCGCGGCAATGTCTGTGAGGTGAACGGAGGCCAGTGTCCGTGCAAGGCCAACTTCGAGGGACAAAACTGCGACCGCTGTGCTCCGGGCTTCTTCAACTTCCCCGCCTGCGAACGTGAGTCGATATGCTTAGCTGTGGTGATCTTGCTTTATTTGGTCGACTTGTTCCCGTGGCTCATCCAAGATCGTAGCGTTTTTCTTGTGAATGACTAAGTAGACGTGATTTACGTATAAAAATTACACCTTGTAATACTATATCTGGCTAGTTTCAATGTTCTACAAGTACCATTCTTTCCAAAAGGGTCACGTTTACTTCAGCCCTTGACCTCTAAAATATTATCCATCTATCACTTGTATCTCCTCGACCTCGGCAGATCTGTTGTGTCAATTCTCTGCTGTCAGCAGCTACTGCCCCCTGGCCTGTATCTTTCGGCCCCCTAACTGACGCGTCCTCTATTCTCCCTGACCTGGCAGCGTGCGAGTGTAACCCGACCGGCTCCGTGGGCGAGGTCTGTGACGTGGAGCAGGGTCAGTGCGACTGCCTCAACAACTTCGGCGGACGCCAGTGCGACCAGTGCCAGAACGGATACTACAACTACCCGGACTGCGAGTGTAAGTTGGGAGTATATAGCCGAGACAGTGCGACCAGTGTCAGAACGGATACTACAACTACCCCGACTGCGAGTGTAAGTTGGGAGTATAGAGCCGAGACAGTGCGACCAGTGTCAGAACGGATACTACAACTACCCCGACTGCGAGTGTAAGTTGGGAGTATATAGCCGAGACAGTGCGACCAGTGCCAGAACGGATACTACAACTACCCCGACTGCGAGTGTAAATTGGGAGTATATAGCCGAGACAGTGCGACTGCAGTGCCAGAACGGATACCACAACTACCCCGACTGCGAGTGTAAGTTGGACTGGCTAAGTTACGGTGCGGGCATGGTCTAGTTGTGGGCTAAACTGTGGATTTTTGGAGCAGGCTGGGATTGAGTTACGTTCACTTGGGCACTGGCGAGGGGTAGCTCTCCTGATTGAAAGTTTCGACGCGTTAGTATTCTTGTTGCAGAGTCTAAGTCGCTGATGAATTTTTATTTGACTGATCGTTGTCATCACACTTATCTTCATTTGTTTTTGCCGCTCGTCATCATCCACTGACCGCCCCCTCCCCTCCTCCCACAGACTGCAACTGTGACAGTTCGGGCACGGAGCCGGGCATCTGTGACAAGCAGAGCGGCCAGTGTCAGTGCCGGGAGGGCTATGGCGGCGAGCGGTGCGACCAGTGTGCGGCGGGATTCTTCGGCTATCCTAACTGCCGACCCTGTGACTGTGAGTGGCTCCAGCTGAACGGCGCTGAACGGCGCTTGAGTGTTCAGACTTTGTAGAATATAGGTACCTATGTAGGACGTGGCTTATGTTTGAACTTGTTTTATTTAAGCACGTTTACACTGGCTTCTCCGAATGACATTTATATTCAACATACTTTCTGCTAAATCTGATGCAAAATCTTACCGATCCAAGGTGTCTAATCTCTTGTCGATACCTTCCAGTCACAAAATATGGCGTGCCTGATGACGTGTGACTCCCATAATGGTGTTTATTATATCACCTGACGTCTGACGACGTGCTTCAGGTTATGTGGACGGCAGCACGTCCACGTCCTGCAGCGCCACCGGCAAGTGCTCCTGCCTGTCGAGCTTCTCCGGTCAGCGGTGCGAACAGTGCAGCCCGGGACACTTCAACTTCCCATCCTGCACCCGTGAGTAGGGAGGGAGCTACGGGAGAGGAAAACAATGGAGAGGGGTTGCAGTGTGGTACTCAACTCCTGAGGGTGGATTGCTAAAGGTCTTGTAGCTTCGTGGGCGGGTCTTCGTGATAGTGACCTATGTTACGATATATTCTGCTATTCTGTTAGAGGTGTGTCTTATAAAGGCCATCTCACTACCTAGCTCCCATGTGTCTCACGTTTTCACCCCATCATGCCCCACTCTTCCAGCGTGCGACTGCCACCCGTATGGCGCCATCGGCGTCTCCTGTGACGGCGACGGCGTCTGCCGGTGCAAAGACAACTTTGACGGCGTCAAGTGCGACATGTGCAAGGAGAACTTCTACAACTTCCCGCTCTGCGAAGGTGCGGTCGGCGGAATATCGGCTGAAACAGGCTGAAACAGACTCTTTCCGCGTTCAGGAAATCGCATGCGAGAGCCTATTCAAATACGTTATAATTCTTTCCGCATCAATCGCATCCGGGAGGTGCGTGCGATTGACACGAGCGTGCTATTTGAATTTGAATGTATTTGAATAGGCTCTCGCATGAGATTTCCTGACTGCGGAAAGAGTCTCTTTCAGGCATAATGCGAGCAGCAGCCTGAAACGTAACTCCATCTTGCGCTATCTATCTTGCTCAGCCCTCAGGGGACAGAGGACAGATAGTATACCCTCAGATTGTAACAGCTGTGACCTCTCGTTATATCCTCAGGGCGTAACGATGACCTCCCGTTCCCCCAGGGTGTAACTGCGACCCGGCTGGCGTGACGTCTACCCTCAGGCTATATGTGACCTCTCCCGTGCCCCCAGGATGTAACTGCGACCCGGCTGGCGTGACCTCGTCGTTCGCCGGCTGCGACTCGCTGGAGCACCTGGGCGAGCTGTGCGAATGTAAACCGCACGTGACTGGCCGAATCTGTGACACGTGCCGACCGCTGTACTGGAACCTGCGCGTCAACAACCCAGACGGCTGCGAAGGTACGAGGCGCTGACACACGGGAGGTTGGTGGACAGGGTATTGGAGCTTGTTTGATCTGACTATGGTTCTCATGGTCTGCCAATGGTGTTGACTTTTGAGGTGCTGTTCAAAGTTTGTCAAAGTTGCGCGTGCCCGACTGTATGTATGTTTCAGGGCTCTTACGGTCCACACAAAGTTCATGAACGTAAATTGATAATTATCTGTGCCTGTTTGTCCGGCTTATGACCTCTTTGTGCTTCTGATGTGACACCTGGGTGACCTCTACTGACCCTGCAGACTGCGACTGCAACCCGGCGGGCACGGTGGGCGCTGTGACACCTCTGTGACCCCTGTGTTACCTCTATATGACCCCTGTTTGACCCCCGTCTGTCTCCAGACTGCGACTGTAACCCGGCGGGCACGGTGGGCGCTGTGCGACTCTGTTACCTCTTTGTGACCCCTATCTGACCCCTATCTGACCCTCAGACTGCGACTGTAACCCGGCGGGCACGGTTGGCGCCGTGCGCGTCTGTGACACTCGCTCCGGCCAGTGTCCGTGCAAGCCGCACGTTTCGTCCCGCCAGTGTCAGGAGTGCAGTCTGGGATCGTTCAAACTCACCGACGATAATCTGTTCGGATGTCAGAGTGAGTAATTAGCGAGCACTAGCTGCAGCTGTTCTGAACCGCTGCCGAATATTTTTTCTGTACGTTTGCTAGAAATAGATTTGTGATGTTAGCGAAGATCAATCTCATGTTTTTTTGTTGTCTTTTAACCTTATGTTGTAACTGAAAGGCAATATTATTCTTAACTTTAAAATTAAACGCCGTTGTCCACGATGTTTGACACCTTCGAGTCTTTCAGCCAGCTGACATAGCATAATCGAAATATCCATTATTCAAATATCTATTTCCCGATCATTTCAACACTGTTTCACGATCGCATTTGACACCGTCCTCTCGCTCCATGTTTCAGCCTGCAACTGCGACATCGGCGGCGCGGTGAACGACTTCTGTGACAAGTACACGGGCCAGTGCGCCTGCCGACCGCGCGTGACGGGCCCCTCGTGCAGCCGGCCGCTGCAGCTGCACTACTTCCCGGATCTGTACCAGTACAAGGTACGGTGAGGGTGGAGACAACGCGTTCTGAACGGCAGCCCAGCCCTCGCTTAGCTGATACATTCGTGCAGTGTATTGGTAGTTTAAATCAAATCTCTAAGAGAGATTGTTAAAGAGATAGTTAAATGGTAGCGATGCCTTCTGGTTTTGAAATGACTTGGTGCTTGATCTCATCCGCCCTGCCGTGTGTCCCTTGTAAAAGATCCAGGGACTGCTGCCAACCATGTTGACTGTTAGCCATGTCCTTTTGGACCTTTTCTACACGATTTGACCTCACGTATCAGCACATGATCCCCATTTTCTTCCCAGTACGTGGCCGAGGACGGCCGGACGGCGGCCAACTCGGCCGTCAATGACCTGACCTAACCGTGACCTGACCTGCTGTGACCTCTGCCCGTAGTATGAAGCCGAGGACGGCCGGACGGCGGCCAACTCTGCCGTCCGGTTCGGTTACGATGAGCGCGAGTTCCCCGGATACAGCTGGAGGGGGTACGCCGTCTTCTCGCCGCTGCAGGTGAGCCGGGAGTCTGGAAACATCCTGTCAGTGTTTCATGCATCCATGATGCGTTTATTGTCGCCAAATCTGTGAGTTTAAATCTTCTTGGTTACGCTGGATCTATACTAGAGTGAAGCCTATTAAAAGTGCGCTGCAATTTGATTTCTATCCTCCATTGCAGCTTAGACAATATTCGCTTCTCATATGAGCATTCATATGTCGCATGTTTCCTAGCGACGAGTTGATCAACATCGGGTAATATAGTTTCTGTTCTCTCGAGTGAATCACGCATTAACGCCGGCCCGTTCTCGCCCTCGTTCCGTTTCAGCGTGAGATCATCCACGACATTTGGGTGGAGAAGCCGTCCCTGTACCGGATGGTGATGCGTTACGTCAACCCGCGGCCGGAGCCGATCGTGGCCACCGTGCAGATGACACCCGAAAACCCGCTGGATATCCCGCAGAACGTCCAGGTATGTACACGACGGAAGAGAGAAACCCGATTCGACAACCCACAAAACTTCCAGCTACGCAGTGATAGAGTCGGCTGCCATGAGAGAGATGAACGTGGATGTGAAAGGAGCCCTTTTGATTGTTGCTAATACTGGAACTCGCTAGCACACATTTGTTTCCGATTACTGAGTAGCCAATGCTCTGTCAACTTTAGATGACTTTCTCCAGGAATACCATTAACGTCTATATCTGGAAATGCCGAGTTCAGATTTCAGTTTAATAAACTGTCTTTTTTCAGGTCCGTTTCGACCCGAGCCGCGAGGCCGCACTAGTGACGGTGTCTGGTGCCGCTGGTGACCTGCCGTCACCACTGGTGCTCAACCCGGGCCGGTGGACCGTCACCGTACAGAACGAGATCGAGGGACTCCGACTGGTGAGTAATCTTGGTGTAAAGGGTGTTGAGTGATCGTGAAATCGAGAGTTTACGTTTGGGTTTTCTTCCAGCAGGTAGGGGCAGCATGCTGGCTGGGAGGCTGGCCACCTTGGCTCATGCTAGAATGAATTGGTTTCCTGTTCTGTTTTGGTATGAGAGTTGCAAAGCTGAGGTGTCGAAGCGTCTGCAATATAAATTTACATTTAAACAGCGATTTCTTCATTTAACGAGGTAGCCGCGTTCGATTAAAACACCTTATATTCTTTATCCCTCTCTCCGAAAATTTAACACCCTCTCTTACCGTCTTCAGGACTACTTTGCGCTGCTGCCGGCGGCCTACTACGAGGGGACCATCCTGCAGGACCGCGCCACCGAGCCGTGCTACCTGGAGCAGCTGCAGAAGCTGTGTCTGCAGTACGCCTACCCGGACCTCTCCTGGGCAGCAGGAGCGGCCGCCGCCGACGGACTCAATCAGGACGGCGGACCCACGCAGCTGTATGATAACCAGGAGGTAAGGACGGGAGGGGAAAGGGCGGAACGGAGCCTGGTAGAACTGAAAGCGGGGTTAATGGGTAGCATCTGGGCTGAAAAGCAAGTCAGAGGTCGACTGTTCAGTCCAGTTCTGTATTTACGGACAATTACAAATGCTGTCTTACTGTGCTTACAGTGCTTACTGCGACTTCGACACTAGTTTGGGTTTTAAGCAATATTTTAGCTACAATCCCAGCTAATGCCACTGATACGCTCGAAGAAGTCACTCAGTGCGTATGAGAGTCTGCAGTCTTCCTAGCTATCACTTCATCACCACCCTTCGAACTCACTGACCACCATTCTCTCCCCTATAGGTGCTGGACGCGGTCAACACTCCCGCGATGGCTCACCTGAACGAGGAGCAGGGCAGCGTGCGTGTACCTCTGATCGTGGACTCCCCTGGCCGGTACATCCTAGTGGTACACTACCTGACCCCGCCCGGCCAGCCGATCCCCAGCCAGGCCACCGTCGAGACGGTCACTGCCACCGGTGAGAATATGGGAGAGGAGAGAGGAGACGGGGAAGGGTCTGAGTGAGAGGGATAGGGGAAGAGATGAGTTTGACCGGACTGTGTGTGTAGGGGAGGTGTGTCCGAGGCTACTGAAGTCTCTTGGCGCTAATGTGATAGAAAACTGAGCCTGTAACGTCGTTATTTTATAAAACCAGTATAACGCCTTTTGGGGCGACTAACGGAGCGAGCGAGAGGGTGGGCCTTGCACGTGCGAAATTGCGAGGGGGTACCTCCAACTGACTTGTGCACGGCACCCTACTAACTGGTCTCTAGCGATGTGCCAAATTTGGGCACAATCGGCCCAGCCGTTCTCGAGATCTGGAAGCGGCACCCTGCACGTGCGCACGTGCAAAATGGGTCCCAACTGACTTGTGCACGGCACCCTACTAACCGGTCCCTAACCGTGTACCAAATTTGAGCGCAATCGGTCCAGCCGTTCCCAAGATCTGGAAACGACCCCTGCACGTGCGCACGTGCAGCAGCACCCCAACTCTGGCACATGTATATGCAGTGCCTAGTGGGTGCCTACCTACATGCCAACTTTCAGCGCAATCGGCCAATTAGTTACCGAGATATTGCAACAATTACAAAACTGACACCTCTTCGTTTTGCACGTGGCACGTGCATAAGGGGTCACCCACATGCATCGGGAATAGTCCAATACTTGGTAGAAGGAATGAAGCTACCCTACAAAAATTACCGCGTGTAAATCGGTCAAGTGGTTGCTGAGATATAAGCTTCGCAAAAGCGTGACCACGGCCGGCCGGCCGGCCGGCCGGCCGCTCATACTCAGAAATTTCCGTTAATCTAAGGAAAGACTACGCTCGCTTCGCTCGCTCCGTAATGAGATGCATGCTAAGAATGTTCGTATATCAATATGCACGCTGAGTCTGCCCCGGGTCACCCACCTCCTGCTCCACACTAATCATCTTCCCCTACCTTCCCCTCCGCCTTCCTCAGGCACGGAACAGGGCGTGATGGCCATTAACCGCTGCGACATGCCCATGCTCTGTCGCCAAGTGACAACCGACCAGCAGGGACGCGTCTTCGACTTCAACTTTGACTCCAACGACGTCGATGTCGTCATCACGGTAGGCAGCCGTGGATGTCGTGTCTTCTGAATGCGTTTTGGTTTACTGCTGTTTTGCGTGATAGGTAGTCTTGTAGCTTGTCTGGTATTAACCTCAAGATTGTTCTTGCCGTTTAGGGCACAACACAGCTTTGTTCTCGCATCTAAGATGTTCTATTTTTATTTTCCTTCCGCGACCTTGCATTTAGGTATGGCATCAGACATTCCATCACGAAAAAAGTTTTTTACAATAGTTACCGGTGGGCCATATTCTAGGATTGAATAGTTTTGAAAAAATAACGAACTATTCATTCCTGGCCCAGGAACGACGGGCTTGCCCACTCCACTCTACCTTTATGTGTCCAAACTAACCCCTGTCCTCCCTCCGTCAGCCTGAGGGCGGCGCGCCGCTGCTGGTCGACTCGGTGGTGGCCATCCCGGCGCTCCAGTGGCACAACGACTACGTGCTGCCCAAGGTCCGCTGTATCAGAGAGGACGGAGAGTGTGTCGAGATCCGGTTCCCCACGCCGCCCGAGTCGTCCAAGGTAAGGGGATAGACGTTGTAGGGCGGTGAGAGGATGGATGAAATGGGTGTATCGGAAAAAGTTGAACTGAGAGAGGATGGGTGGGTAATGGGTATAATGTTGAATGGGTGAGGTTATGATAAATGGAATTAATTTGTAAATCTGAATGAAATAATAAATTTCGCCTGTCTCTTTACAGGCGAAGGATAGTCTTGAATGGCTCCTACCACACTCATTGCAGTCTGACACTAACCCTCCTCCCGTCCTACCTGTACAGATTGACAGTCTTGGGTTTGACTTCAACTCACCACGCTCAATATAGAAAAGTGACGCCGAATCTCCCGCCCCCTCCACACAGGTGGAGTTTGAGTCTGGCCTGGACACCCCTCCGACCGCCGCGCCGGGTCAGGTAGTGCTACTGATCCCCTCTCCCGCCTCCTCTATACAGGTGGAGTTTGAGTCGGGCCTGGACACCCCGCCGACCGCCGCGCCGGGTCAGGTAGTGCTACTGATCCCCTCTCCCGCCTCCTCTATACAGGTGGAGTTTGAGTCGGGCCTGGACACCCCGCCGACCGCCGCGCCGGGTCAGGTAGTGCTACTGATCCCCTCTCCCGCCTCCTCTATACAGGTGGAGTTTGAGTCGGGCCTGGACACCCCGCCGACCGCCGCGCCGGGTCAGGTAGTGCTACTGATCCCCTCTCCCGCCTCCTCTATACAGGTGGAGTTTGAGTCGGGCCTGGACACCCCTCCGACCGCGGCGCCGGGCCAGGTAGTGTTACTGATCCCCTCTCCCGCCTCCTCTATACAGGTGGAGTTTGAGTCTGGCCTGGACACCCCTCCGACCGCGGCGCCGGGTCAGGTGGCCGGCTCTGAGGTCGCCCTGGTGCGTCTGGACCGCAACTCCTCCATGGTGGATGTTCGCGGTCAGGTGCCCGAGGCCGGGCCGTACGTGTTCGTGGTACACTACTACCAGCCCGATCACCCAGGTAGGTGCAGTTTGGAAAGGGGGAAGGGTTAAAGGCTGCTTAGTGTCGCATGAAGTTGTAGGTACCGTTACCGCATTCAGTTTGAGAGAAAGGCAGTCACGATAGCTGCGTATTAAAATGGCAATGGGAGTGGAAAAGGTAAGATGCGGTAGTTTGATACTCAAAAGTGACTTTGTGCTAGCTGCATAAACAATGTAAAATGCCAACTCGTGATTATGTCCCGCTTCTGGCCTTTTCTCTCAACATTCAGAACTTCCGTTGCTTGTAAAATATTCGTAACTGCTTGCCGCTATCCACCGCTGACTAACCATCTCCTCCCGCAGAGCTGGAGATGCCCGTGCTGCTACAGAACGGCCAGTTCTACGAGGCCCGTCTGCGCGCGCCGCACTGCGCCTCCACCTCCGGCTGCCGAGCCGTGGTCGAAGAGGCCAACGGAAACAAGGTCTTCAACATCCTCGAGAACTTCATGTTCACACTCAAGGTCAGTCATGAGTAAACGGTGTGAAGAGACGAGAGTAGGACAATGATTGGGGTATTCAGCTAAGGTCTCAAGATCTGCAGAGCGCGGTCTCATCCAACTTCGATGCTGAACTTCTTCAGCACTCGTTGTCCTAGCTAAAATAGAATAGGTCGGCCCAGTGTTTATCGAGCCAGTGCATGTTACACCGTACAAAAGAGTTTTCTCAGGGGCAACACCATACGGTACACCGTACAAAAGGGTTTTAAGAGCTTATACTAGACATTTTCGTCAAGTCGGCTTTACTGTCTACACCCCTTGCTACTGCGCCATCCCATCACCTCCCTCTCTTTCCCTGTTCAGGAGCCGACCGGTAAGGGTGTGTACGTGGACTACCTGTACGCCATTCCGGAGGGCGTCTACAACTGGGAGGTGCTGGAGCCACTGCAGATCGACCGCTCGGCAGAGTTCCTGCAGCGCTGCGGACCCAACCACTACCAGGTCGACACCTCGGATGAAGGTGGGTGTGGTGTCTGTCGGTGAGGATGTGTGGGGTGCATTGAGTACTTCGGGTAGCAATGCAAAATATAGAGGCCGTGACATCCAAACAATCTAAATGTCTACATAAACTAAGAAGCATTGTAAGGCCGGTCGGTTGGCTCATCCTGCCCCGTATTTGGGTCTGCGAGGGCACGTCCGCTATAATTTACTCTTATTCATTTCTTTCCACGTCCTGAGTTCCGACCCCTGGCCTAAAGTGTTGCACACTCCATTGATGTGCTCTGTTGTTGCTGCCATAACCCGCCACCCGACCTCCTTCAGGTTTCTGTCGTGACGCCGTCTTCTCTCTAACCACCGACTACAACAACGGCGCCCTGGAGTGTCAGTGTGACAGCCAGGGCTCCGAGAGCTTCGAGTGCCACCCGTTCGGCGGCCAGTGCCCGTGCAAACCGCACGTGATCGGACGGCAGTGCAACCGGTGCCAGACGGGCTACTTTGGCTTCCCCGACTGCCGGCCGTGCGACTGTCCCAGCACGGCGCTCTGCGATGATACGACCGGTGAGAGGGGTGAAAGGGAGGAACGGAGAGGAAGTTAACTAAATAGTTATAGTGCTTTGTGTGCCGATAAAACCGAGGAAACAGAGGGAGAGAGGGGCGCGAGAGAGAGGGGGACGGGAGATCTACTGGCCAGTAATTGTAAGAGTCCGCTCTGATAAACTGGTAAATGAAAATGGTAAGACGTGCTCCGATGAAACTGGTATGGTAGGAGGAGGGACGTGCAGTCGGTCGGTGATTTTTCGCCGACTCATTAATAACTGTGACTCGTGACCGGAGTCCTGTCCTGACCTACCCCTCACTCTCCCCAGGCGAGTGCATCTGCCCGCCGCGCGTCACTGGCGATCGGTGTGACCAGTGTGTGCCGCTGACGTACGGATTCGACCCCCTGATCGGCTGCGAGGAGTGCAACTGCGCAGAGCTGGGAGTGGTCGACCCGGCCAACCCGCAGTGTGATCTCGAGACCGGACAGTGCCCGTGAGTTAACACAAAAGACCGGACACTAGGCAATACCCATGAGTTGACACAAAGAGACCGTACAAAGCCCGTGAATGGACAGAAATAGACGCATGTGGTCATGGAAGAATGCTGATACGACAGAAATAGCCAATTATGAAAAGGACCGACATTGAATAGGAACCTAGTATGACGTTTCGAAAATATTATATCTACAGCTGTGCCGTTCCGCGTGTTGAAGTAACTGTGTTTTTATTCTCTTGGGAGTGTCACCTGTTGTGCAGCTTATTGCAGGTTTGTTTTGGCTTTACATTGCCACAATCGTGTGATCGAAATTTTATTCGTCCCAATTTTGCCATTTCAGCCGGCTAAACTGACCTCCCTCCCTTCCCATCGTCAGCTGCAAGCCCAACATCGTCTCCCGCACCTGCGACCGGTGCCAGGCGGGCAGCTGGGCCTACCCGTACTGCCAGCTCTGCAACTGCGACCTGCGGGGCACCACGGAGGAGATCTGCAGTCAGGAGACGGCCGAGTGCTTCTGTAAGGAGAACGTGGAGGGACGGCTGTGCGACCAGTGCCGACCGGGCACCTACAACATGGCAGAGTCCAACCCCGACGGCTGCACGCGCTGCTTCTGCTTCGGAAAGACGGAGAGCTGCACCAGCAGCTTCCTGTTCTGGTATGAGGTGAGACTAATAGCTGCGTGATGAGACTGCTGCAACTCTTGTTCGGTATGAGGCATGGTGAATAATGAAAGATCAGTTTGACTGATGTTTTTTGTGATTTACTGAACATTTTCGGTCAATTTTTGTTTAACGTTATGTAATTTTGGCCACGTTTTTATTCAAACTGAGGTTTGCATCAGACTCTTCACCAGTCACCAGTAAATCACCAGTGTTTGTGCCGTTAAATCATCTGCAGTGGTTTAATCCACATCCTGTGACTCATTTCTCATCCCTTCTTTCTCAGGTGCCGGCGCTGCAGGAGATGGAATGGGACGTGGCCGCCGTCTCCCAGACCACCACCGGCCTGAACGTGATGGAGAGCAAGGTGACGCTGGAGGTGCGTCAGGACCGCGTGCGCGTGGCCGGCGGCCGCGAGGGAGACATCACCTACTTCGCGCCGGGCGGCCGAGGCGCTAACATGCTGGGGTCGTACGGCGGAGAGCTGAGATACGTGGTGGAGCCGGTGGCTGAGGCCGAAGGTGAGGGACGGAGGGGAGAGGGGTCAGGTTCGGAGGGCGAGTCAGGATTGGCAAGGGCTGATCAGGGTCGAGTGGTCGGAGAGATCAGTCAGGGTGATCACTTTGCCGATGATCTCACAAGTCATCGGGGAAATGAAGTGAAGAGTGTGGTCTGAATCTATAGATTCTATAGGTGTTACCGTTGCAGCCGCCAAGTAGATGGCTCTGAAGTTAGAGGTGAGATAAGGAGTAGGAATCAGGATGGGGTGTGTAGTGTGTACTGTATATTTCTTTAAAAAAATGCCTGGAATCAGGCTCGTCAGTTGTGCTCTTTTTCTCAGCCACTGAATTCCAACCTGTTGGTTTTCAGACGGTATGATGTCCGGAGCGGACGTCATTCTGACCGGAGCCAACATCACCCTGCTGCACTACGCCTACGCCGACATCGTGCCCAACATGCAGAACTTCATCACACTGAGCCTGGAGGAGCGTTTCTTCCGACTGCCATCGGGTGAGTATAGCAGAAACTAGCGGAAGTGATCGAGAGGTGGTTTCTGACTGAGTTTTGTAGCTAGTTTGGTTCGGCATATTTTTCGCGATTTTATTATTGTGCTGTGATTATGTACTTTATCAGCTTTTGTTATATATTTCTTTTCGCTCTTTTCGGTCGTGTTTTAGCTATGACTTGCCTTTTTTATTTAGTTGTGTCCCAAATTTACTGTTTTATCTTTATTTCTATATCCGAATGCGATCCGTCAAGCCATGCGTCGTCTGCCTTCTGACCTGTGACCTCTGACTGACCTCCGGTCCTCCCACCAGGCCCTGACGCCACGCGGGAGCAGCTGATGCAGGTTCTGCAGCGTCTGGACGGTCTGTACATCAAGGCCACCTACCTGGTGGGTCAGCAAGAGTGCACCATCTCCAACGTGACGCTGAGCATGGCCGTGCAGTACGGAGATCCCAACTACGACCGGCCGGCCTCGTCAGTGGAGGAGTGTGCCTGTCCGAGCAGCTACACGGGTGAGGCGGGGTGATGTGTGGGGAGTGGGGAGGAGTGTGCCTGTCCGAGCAGCTATACAGGTGAGGCGGGGCGGAGGAGTGTGTGTGTGTGGGGTGGGGGTGCGAAGGAGTGTGCCTGTCCGAGCAGCTACACGGGTGAGGCGGGGCGGAGGAAGGGAGTGTCTGGGAGGGGGATGAGAGGTTTAACTGTGCTTATTGAGGAGCCGCGTGAGTTGTTGTGTGACTGGCTGTGCAAACTGCAAATATAAGTTACTTTGTGCATGAACCACATTCATGATGCATTTCTCTTAGGCTGACTCGTGCCATTTGAATTTCCGTCTAGTTTGAAGGTGTCCGTTTCATATATTTCGTGTTTTCATTCATCTCACTGTTGCTTATTCATAGATACAAGACAAAATTATACTGTGCCCAAAGTTTTCCGGGACTTTTTAGTGTGAGGCATAATATATGGACTTAATGTATCGTATTTCACCTGTCCCTGTTCGCAGGTATGTCTTGTGAGGAGTGTGCCCCGGGCCACTACCGCGCCCAGACCGGCCCCTACGGTGGCTACTGCGTGCCCTGCAACTGCAACGGCCACTCGGAGACGTGCGATCCGCTCACCGGGAAATGCTTCGTGAGTATCAGTGAATGGGTGACAACTGCGGGTGGAAGAGAAATAAGTGTTTCGGGATTAACAATCCTGTAACTAATTTCGGGATCCTGTAACAGACTGAGTACTAAGTGAAGTAATAGAAATCGGCGAGAACGGGCCCTACAGGACATCGTGCCTCTTGCCCCGATAACACGAAGATGAAGATGAAGATGAAGATTACCCGTGGAAAGAGGGGTGGGGAGGAGGCCGGAGTGACAGTGGGAGACAGAAAACATGGCACATATGATAAGCCGGTCGCTGGATAACTGCAAAAGAACTCGCTGGCTGAACAGTGGACATGTAACTTGTCCTTGCTGGCATGCATGAATGATGTTAGCTCTAATAATCGTGTCTCGTGTTCACAGGACTGCCAACACAGCACCACGGGCGACCACTGTGAGAAATGTATCACCGGTTACCATGGTGACGCCACGGGCGGCTCACCCTACGACTGTCTGATCTGCGCCTGTCCCCTGCCGATCGCCTCCAACAAGTAAGACACGGGGCTGAGGGGGGTATCGGGCAGAGGGACTGGGAGACGGGTCACAGGGTGTCTCCCTAAACTATGTCTTTGCGTCAATTCAGCCTGACTCAAATTTGAGAAACGATTGTTTCCCTTCTTGTTATTTGTTTTGGTGTGCTCGTCTGCAGGTTTTTTCATCTTTCACCTATCGTGGCCTTGTGTCTCCTCACTAATCTTCAACATCTGGATGTCTCTTCCCACACCTCCCTGACGCTTCCATCCGTCCCACAGCTTCGCCAACAGCTGCGAGGTATCGCCGGACGGGCTCAACATTCGCTGCGAGTGTCAGGAGGGCTACTACGGCGCCCGCTGCCAGGCGTGCGCGGCAGGCTACTTTGGCACGCCGGAGATACAGGGTGGCTCGTGCCAGCCGTGCGGCTGCTCGGGTAACATCGACACCAGCGACCCCGGCTCGTGTGACTCGATCACTGGAGAGTGTCTGCGGTGTCTGAACAATACGGACGGACCGGCGTGCAACCTGTGCGCTAACGGGTACTTTGGAGACGCCGTGGTCATCAAGGATTGTCAGGGTGAGTGCCGGGGGGGGGGAGGAGAGGGAAGGAAGGGAGAGAGCGAGTGGGGTATGGACTGAGCGACTGGAATCATAATCACTATACCACACGAAACGACACTCAACTGGAAAGAGCCTGACCACCATCCAATGTAAGCCATCAAACAACACCTGCAAGCATACTAACACACGCTTCCATATTCACCTTACTGTCTGACATAAGCTAACGCGAACATCACTACTACGAACCATATACCGTCTCCGTTCGTACCCGGACTGACTATTCTGCACGCTCCTGGTTCAGTTACCTGGGAGTAACTACGGCCGCAGCCCTTAGCGTTGGCTTTCGCGTCCGGGAGCGAAGGTCGGGTGCCTTGATATTTACGTGTTCGAAATTGATTCGAGTATTTATGAGGAAGTTTCTTTTCAATGTTGGTTGTAGGGGTTCCAAAATTCAATTAAATCCCACTTGTTTATCATCTGCCTACTTTCTACTAATCGAAATGCTTTGGTAGGCATAACAAATTGTGAACCAATGGCTGCAGTGGGCCACCTTTTCAGTTTTCTTCATCACCTTAGCGATGATTCAGCTGTTCTGCAACATCCGTACGCCGCTCAGCGACCCGGGGTGCGGCATTTCCTGAGCATATCTCTGCTAACCGCAAACCAAGGACTGCGAGCGACGGCCACCAACGAACGGACCATAGACCCGGCTTCTGTGAATCAAGGACAGCGTTCTACGAACCACGGACTACGGACTAAAGACCACGGGGCGCAAGCCATGGACCACGAACGAAGGACCACGGGTCATGATTTATTTGTCTGACTACAGACCATAGGCCGCGAGGTAAGGACCTCGAATCACGGATCAAGGCCCACAGAGTAGACTGTATGCCACTTCACACATCAAACATCTTGCGTCGCTCCTCTCCTGAGCGAGGGGGGGGGGGGCTGAGGCGGGGCGTCAGCCGCTGGCTACCTTCCAGCCCGTCTGTGCCTCCCACTGATCTCAGCCGACGGCTGCTCCACCATGACGGGCCGGGCCGTCCGGGTGGGGTTTGGACCGGGGGTAAAACGGGCGCCGGCGCCGACCGCCAGTAGACCAGCAGCAGCCATGGCGGGCGCCCGTGAACGCGGCGGGGGCAGCAGAGCGGTCCTCCGGGCCGTCCTGCTGCTGCTCTGTGTGAACTGTGACCTGACCTGGGGTCAGGGCAGCCGGTGGACCACCTCGTGGCAACTGGCCCGCGGGATCTACTATCCCCACGGCACAGATGGCCATGGGGAGAAGTACTGGCGCGAATCTGAATCCCGTAAGACTTGCGACGAGTTGGCCGGCTTTGCCGTCTTCTAACTTACGTGATCATAGGGTATCGTCATTGATTTGGTGGTTGATTGCGGTATAGGTTACGATTTCCGAATTGTTTGTTTGTCGCTATGTTCACGGGGAGTGCGCTCGTGTTTTATTTTGTAAACGTTGTGTGATTCGTACTTACCGTGCAGTGACCCGACTGACCTGACCCTCTGAAGTGACCTATCCGCTCGCTGATCTCACTGACCCGTCCTGTGTTGTCTCCTCCAGCCTGCAGCTGCGACGACTGCGGCACTGCCCAGTGTGACTCCAGCACCGGATTCTGCACCTGTCGACCCAACGTCGAGGGGCCCAAGTGCGACCGCTGCTCGCCCAACACCTGGGGATTCCAGAGCTGCCAGGTACGGGGCAATGAGATGGCTTGTGTGTGGGGCTTGGGCTTTTTTTTAGGCGAGACTTTTCTAGTTACAGCCGTACAGGACTCTACAATGACGATATTTCTAAAAGCTGTTTTTCGGTAATACGCTATAAGTAGTCGATAAATCAACTTTTTTTGCCATTAGATGCGTTTTCCGAGTTGAATTTAATTATTTGTATCCCTAGTGTAAAGCTTATCATCAGCGTACGCTCAACTCACCCACGTAATTCGTTTACCAAGCTGTGTCATGGGAACACTCCTATATTACCATAGTTTTATATGCAGCTTCCGGTCTGTGGTATTCGCACCATAATTCATCAACATGTCTGTGTGTTGTGTATTTCGGTACCGCTTAGTCTGTCACCACTATCCATCCCCGGTGTTTGCTGCCCCAGTGCCGTGCTCTATTTACTCTGCGGCCCGGATCTGTCCATTGTTATCAGTTCAGTGTCTACCCGCCAGTCACTCCGCACTGCACTGGTCAACCCGCTGCTGTTTTTGCACTTCTCCTTTGAGACAATGTAAAGAACGACATTTTCCATAGCGTTCAGCACATCTGAGGTCACTTCACACACCTATCTATTTCATCACCTTTCAAAGTTCGATCAATCAACAAAAGTTTATCATTTTCTTGGTCTGTCCGTGCTCTAAATCAATCGCCTTTTGCTGTGTGCCTTCGATGATACGTTCGCCCCTTCCGCCGGCACCGTTAGTCGCTCAAATCTCGTCGGCCAACGTCCGTCGGTCGGTGGCACCGACGGCACCAACGGCCTCGTCGACTCCGTCGGCCCGTCGATCCGTCGGCCTGGTAGTCTATTTTTATTCGGAGCCGTCCGGCGGCGTTGGCTCGGTACCAGAGAAAATACGGCGTGTAAACGCGAAGTGCCGCCGTGAGCGGCCGGACAGCTGATTCATAGGGAGCTACCAGGCTCGGTCGGTCGGCCTGCTGGGTTTGGCAGCACCAACTGCTCTCAGCGCGGCCCGAATCAGCTGCTAAGATCACAGGGTGACGCGGGTTCTCTGGAATTGAACTCGCTCTTTGTTATCCCACTGGCCTGGTTTCAATAGTCTAGCAAAGGCTCAGAGGAATGAAAATAAGCACTGCTCTGGTTTTTCAAAGTGGATGCAGTTTTAATCCGTGTGTACGATTGTACATATATAGGTACTTCAAATTTAGAGGGCTGAATATCCGTTATTTAAGAAGTCCTCGCCAAAGGATATTATGAACGAAAAGAATAAACACCAATACCATGAATATTGCAAACATTATTTATCTTTGTGCTTGAATATATCTTTCATTTCAGCCTCCCCACCCCTCTAACCCTCGTCTGCTCCCTCTCCCAGGGCTGCCGCGACTGCGAGTGTGCCGAGGCCTCGGAGTCGACCTCGTGTGACTACGAGACGGGCCAGTGCCGGTGCCGCCCGGGCGCCGCTGGCAGACGGTGCGACCAGTGCGCCTCGGGCTACTGGAACTATGGACCGTCCGGCTGCCAGTGTGAGTAACGCAACGACGATGGAACGGTGCTGGAACGATGGTGGAATAGCGGTGGACTAATGCTGGAGTTGTGCTGGAGTTGTACTGGAACGGTGCTGGAATGACTCTTGAAGGACGGCAGTGTGGCCACGAGCTTGCTGTTGTGATGTGAAATAGTGAATGGATAATTCATGATAGGAAGTTTCTGTAACTTGGATTTGCTGTTGGGCTCTCCATAGATTTTGTTCACTCTCCGATGATCTCCCCTGCCATCGTTTCGTGTCAGCGTCTTACTCGTCACCGTGTCCTTTGACTTTTGCGCCACCTGTGCCTGACGTCTCTCCCGCCCTCCCGCCGCAGCGTGCAACTGTAACGAGGAGTACGCGTACGGAGTGGGCTGCAACCCGCAGACTGGCCAGTGCGAGTGTCTGCGCGGCGTGGAGGGACCGCGCTGCGAGCGCTGTCCGTACCGATGGATCCTCATCCCAGGTGAGTGACATACGCTGGGCTTTGACGGCTATGGTGACATAGTGCTATGATGGGCGGAGGGAGTTGAGAAGGTGGCGAGGTTTGCGCGTCGCATTCCCGTTGTTGGATGAGGTTCGCACTGTAATTGGTTTGAAACAGCAAAGCTCTATTTTATTGTTAGCGTCTTCATGAAACGTAGCGCTACCTAATTAAAATGTGGTTCGCAGATCACGGCTCAAAGGAGTCGCCACCCGTTAGCCTGACCTGACCCGACCTGACGTGTGACTGTCATGTCAGGGCTGTGCCACAGGCTGCGTCCATGACCTGACCTGACCTGACTTGTGACCATCAGGTCAGGGCTGTGAGGAGTGCGACAGCTGCGTCCATGACCTGCTGGACACCACCGATAGTCTGGAGGCCATCGTACAACCCATAGTCAACGACTTTGAGGTAACGAACGGTGGAATAATAATTTGTATCTTATGAAAGTTTATGGTAAGCCGTGCCATTGTTTTATTATGTTCCATAACGTTCTTATACACTGTTTTGTCACCTGGCGTTTTTGTTTTTGTTCAGGTTAGAATCGGTCGCGATACTGACGACTCTTTGTTTTTTTTTTTTTTGCAGTCGTACGCTGGCAGCTTCTTCCTGAACCAGAAGCTCTCCATTATGAACGAGTCCTACAACCAGCTCCGACCGCAGGTGAGGGAATATTTCACATTGAAACCATCTACGAAACATTTAGGCATCTGGCAGGTCGTAGCCATGCATTTATTTATTAGCACTTCGTTTCCCTTGGATACGACTTCGCCCATTTCATTTTCAGCTCACATTCTTTCAGCTTTGTACAATTATTGATGCTGATTTGAAAACTAATCTCAATGCGTTGGTCTCTGGTGTCCACCCCGCTGACCGCGTCCATCCGTCCCCGTCAGGTGGACGCCATCTCCGGCGGCGGTGTGGACATCAGTCCACTGCAGCTGCAGGTGGAGGCGCTGGAGAAGCGCGCCACCGCTCAGAAGATCAGCGCCCAGCAGACCACCGCGCGAGCGCAGGAGGCCCAGCAGAAGGCCGTCAAGGTGGGGTAGCAGTGGACGGATGGAGGGGTGAAGGGGTTGTTGATCGGGGCGAAAATGCACAGAGGGTTTTGGAAAAGTTGGTCAGTAATGGCTTAGGGTTTGTAAGACAGAAAATTGAAAAAAATAAGCTGTAGCAGGAGCTGACCGTGTCTTCTGGTTGTTTTACATGACATGATGATGATAAAACACTGGTTTGTATTTTTTCTTTGCATACATACATGTCCGCAAGCCTTAAAACGGTGCTAGGCTAGCCGATCGTTATCCACGTTACCTGGCGGACCTCCCACCCTCTCTCCCCTCCTCCCACCCTCTCTCTGTTCAGGTCCGTGATGACGCTCTGGAGGTGGAGCGTCAGATCGACGAGGCCGTCCGTCAGGCCCGTGATATCGTCAGCAGCATCATCGAACACGCTCAGAGCCTCAAGGTGAGTGTATGTAAGGCAGACTGGTGGGGTGAGGAGAGCTGAGTGTGCGGATAGTTTGTGTATGTGTGTGTTGGGGTGGTTGGGGAGGGAGGGATTAGTGTGACTACACAGTCTCGCGCCGTTCCTTTCGTCCTAACCCCCTCACTCCAAGAGACCATAAATGGTTGAAGTCACAGATTTTCCTGGGGGGGGGGGGGGGGGGGTCAATCAGATTCACACATCTTAGCAAGCTCAGTTTCAAGCTCCTGCCCAGTTGTACGTCCTCTCATTCAGTTTCGCCTGTCTGTAACAGCGTTGGCCACTTTGGCCAGTTCACCCGCCCTCTGTTCGACTGACCGGTCCGTCTCGTACCCCAGGTGGGAGCCGGCCCGCAGATCAGTCTGGCGCTCAGTGAGGCAGAGAGCCTTCTGGCGCAGATCCGCGCCAGAGACTTTGGACCCGCCGGTCGCCGCGTCGAGGACGAGCTGGGCTCCGCCATTGGTGAGAAGTGATATCAAACGTTATAAGTAGGGTATCGGAAATTGTGGCAAACATCATATTTTCGGACATATTCTTAGATTCTAGGTATATTGTTTTGATTTTTTTCTGGCTAGCTTCGATGTAATAATGTGAAGGAGGCCTGTATATTAGGTTTGTCCCTTGCTAGCTTTTTCTAAGAGGACTTCTTAATTTACTGTTAAAATTCAACGAGACTGACATCTGGGTAATTTTTCCATTGCATGCTACTGAAAATGCTCCTTTCTCTAGGCCAGTGTCTAACGTTAGCTCGATCTCTCCCCGCCTTCTCAGAACTCCTGGAGCGTGTGCGCGAATTTAGCGGCCTCATCTCCGGCCGCTGGGAGGAGGCCAGTCAGCTCCGCGCCCGTCTGAACGACCTCGAGGCGCGGCTGGCCGATCTGCGTGAACAGTCGTCCGCCGCCCGCGACAAGGCACTCGAGGCGCTCGAGCTGATCTCCAACAACCGAGTGCAGATCATCAACGAGCGAGTGACCGATGTCGGCGTGAGTAGAAGCACTGGGGTTGGGGTGTTGCTAGGCAAATAAGACGACAACCCGAGACGACAACCTTTTCAGTGTCTTGTGGCCTGTAGGGTCGTTGTGCCGCGGAATTCAAAACATGATATTATGTAGGATTGAAGCTTGTCGAAGCGTCTGCTGAGGTGACGTAGCCTATCGGTGGAGTGCGTAGACGGTGTCGCAATTGCTGCTGTGGCACGCCTGTTGCTCCGCTCTGGTGTTGTAGTGCATTCGTTACCAGTCAGATATTTACGTTGTTCAAATAGTTATTTTGTTGGCGTTGCCACTTGTCAGGACTTCCGTACTCAAGCAGCTTGGCTAGGGTCTTACATATGTAACGATAAATCAGTTCAGTGCATTGTTTGTTTCGTTTGTAGTCGACAAAACAGCCACCGTCTTTTCCGAATCAAAATCCTACTCGACAACGAAGTTCCTCAATTTACTGACCTCCCCCGGCCGTCCGCCGTTCAGATGATCGCGGAGGCGGCCGGGGACGAGCTGGACTCGGCCGCCGAGTGGCTGGAGAAGGCGCGCGCGCTGCTCTCGGAGGCGCGCGCCTCGCTGGCCGCGCTGCAGATCCAGTCGGAGCGCCTGCTGGCCAGTCAGACGGCCGTCCAGGTGCGGATCGACCAGATGACGGACCAGCTGGACGACGTGACGGTGCTGGTGCGGCAGGCGCAGCAGCACGCCACCGACCTCATGATGCAGGTCAGTCTGAGCCATAGTCTGAGCTAGAGGGAGGTGTGTGATCTTTGGTGTATGCATTTGTGTTGCGGGAGATTTGCGCTATCCTGAGGCAATGGAGGGTTATCCAAGTGGGAAGATATGGACTAAAGCCGTACAGTTAGATGAGCTTTGTAGATGCTGATGTGAATGGGAATGGTGGACTAGTGAACAGTGAACACGCTAACGCACAGTGACGATGGTTGGAGGATTTATTCTCACAACTGCTGCTATGCCATACCGGCAAGGCAAGTAAGGTAAGAAGCATAACCTAACACGAAGAGGAAGACTGTCTTAATTTTGCCACCTATCTCGCTGACCGCCCACTTTCCCTCCCTCAGGCTCAGCTGCTGGACAACATGTTGGCCGACACCCGCCAGGCTTCCGATGGCGCCCTGCGCGCCGCCAACTCCTACAAGGACATCGTGAAGGCGATCGAGGAGGCCCTGGCAGCGGCTCGCGCGGCTCTGGACGCCGCCGGCAGCGCCGGAGAGATGTCTGAGGGGGTCGGAGACCGGGCGCTCGAGTCGAGGGAGATCAGCGAGCAGCTGCTGCAGCTGGCGAACGGCCTGCTGGCCACGGTGATGGAGGAGCTGCAGCCGCAGCTGCAGGCCGCCAAGTGAGCAAAGGGAGAGAGGAGAGGGAGGGAGGGGACTGAGGAGTGTGACAGGAGCCGCCCGGGGGGGGGGGGGGGAAGGCTACTTGGCCAGCCAATACGATTGGGCTATCGGATTAGCTAGCATCAGTAGCAAAGCACACTCATCGATGTATCTACTAAATCTGCTATTTTTTACGTAGCTGTTGAATGCTCTGGACACTTCGAGCACACGCTTGCTGTCTAGAGACTAACATGCTTCTACATCACCAGATTCCACCTTCGTTTCGATCACTTATCACCTCCTCTCCTCTCCCCCAGGGAGAGTGTGGACACGGTGGAGCGTATGAACCAGGAGACGCGCTCCCAGCTGACCCTAATCACCGACTCGCTGGCCGCTCTGGAGCGCTACCAACTGGAGGCGGAGGCGCGCGAGGCGGCCCGCGTCGCCACCGACGCCAACGCCGCCGCCGTGGATGCGCTGGACCGCGTGGGCGCCATCTCGGCTCAGCTGGAGGGCGACCTGCAGGCGGCGTACGGGCTGGCGCGCGAGATGGAGGGCGCCAGGAAGGCCATCCAGCTGGCCTCCGAACAGGGTGAGAATGAGACGTGGGGTGCCTGTTTATAGTTAAATCGTCACTTCCTATCACACAAGGTTTCAGTACGAGACAAAAGTGTGTCAGCTATGAGTGGGTGACAACTGGCTATGGACCTGGATACCGCGCCAGGTAGGGATTGTTGTTACACCTAAGCTTCTTATCAGGCTTACTCTCGTCCGGCTCAACGGTGATATATCGCATTACTAACTAAATGCTGAACCCAGTAATTGCCAACCTGACTTTTATAAAAACGCAGGACAAACGACACGCACAGTAACGTTGTTCTCTGGTCTCTAGCTATCCTCCACAAATTATGATTCTGGACTCCTTACCCACAGTGGACACTGTGGAGGGCATCATCCCTAACATGCGCACGCTCATCACCTCTGTGGACGACAAGTTCACCGTCATCCGCACGCTGGGAGTGGACGTCGGCAAGAAGATCGCCGAGCTGCGCAGGAAGGTGGCCGTCGCCAGGGAGAAGGCCAACAGGTTAGTGGCATGGCGACAGCGGACGAAGGAGGGAGGGAGGGAGGGAGGCACTGGAGGGTTGGTACTGAGAAGGGTGACGCTTGGAGGAAAGAGTGGTTGGGATTTGTTGCAACCCAGCCCATCATCCAACAAACTGTTTGATGGATGATGATACGACATTGTGATAAGAATATCCGTAATATTTCCAGCGGTGTCATTTTTCTTTTTAAACTTACAGTGAGAGTCATTCACAATTACAAGCTATGGCGGCCCCCGGCCCGGCGTTGGCCCTGCTCTCCTGATCCTGACCGTTCCTCCCTCGCCCCTGTCTCACCCAGTATCGGCGTGGGTGTCGAGTTCCGCCGCGACATGACGCTCCGCCTGAAGAACCCCGAGGGCCTGGATCGGTCAGCCACCTCCACCGACGTCAGCTTCTTCTTCCGCACCGACAACCCCAACGGCTTCCTGCTCTACCTGGGCAACGAAGTGGGCACCAAGGACCAGCTGCGACGCACCACCTCGGTACGGCACGGTGGAGGGTGGGGTGGGGGGTGGAGGGGCGCGGGGCGGCAGTGGGTCAGCTGAGGGGCGGCGGCAGTGTATGGGGTGCTTTTTTACTTGTTATCGTTTTTCATTTTTTAATCTGTTATTAATTGAACCATATGATTCATGGACGCACTCTGAAACATTAGTCATTCATGCCCGATTCATTCATTCATTCATTCATTTATTCCATTTCATTCTACGGAGGGATGAAATAAATGATAAGATTATGCAAATAAATGGACTGTGAGAATGCAATAAATGACTGGGATTAGAGCTGCCTTGTTACATTTTGGACAGGAAAACTATAATTTGTTACCGACTGTTTGCGAAGTATTCCTTGTCTGGTCACTCAATCTTTCACTACTCTCGTCAGGACGACTTTATGGCTGTGGAGGTGATCCAGGGCAACCTGAACGTGCTGGTTGACCTCGGCTCGGGCGCTCAGCGCATCATCAACGACGCCGTCTACGTGTCCGACGGCGTCTGGAGACAGGCAGTCATCTCGCGGTACGGGATTGTTATTTCAGCCATAACCTGTCGTAATTGATTCAGTGAAAAAAAAAGACGCTGGTTAGGGCTAAACCAATGATTTGTGCAATAAATGTTACCTTTCCTTGCATTTGTCCGATATGAACAGCTAGCGTGGCTAAGAGCCTATCGGCCTGCCCTCACCGTCTAACCCCCTCTCCCACCCGCAGGAAGGGCCGCCAGGTGAAGGTGAAGGTCATCTCTGAGGACTACGAGGGCCGCCGCAAGGAGGACGAGGTCGAGTCCATCCTGCCCGGCAGCAAGTCCGTCTTCAACCTGGACCAGACGCGCTCGGTGCTGCACGTCGGTGGATTCCCTACATCGGCTAAGGTTCAGGTCAGTCATGACGGAGGGGACAAAAGGTATGCGGCTGGCGTGCCAAATGGGACTGTTCTAGCCGGATGTCGGATGCTTTCTTTTAGTTGACTGTAACATCCATTTGGGGGGGGGGGGGCAATTAAGAGAGAATGCAACCGTCACAAGTGTAATAGGTATATGCCGAAAAGTATGCTTTTATTTTTTCAAAATTTAATTAGGATCGGTGTTTGATGCGCCATGTTGTATATATTGTGTCGCCAGCAGTGACAGTAGCTCCTTCCGTAGGTAAACTCCGAATCACTCGACTTAGCAATCCTTTTCCCTTATCACAGAACAACGTGCGCTACACGACCCTGGAGGGCGCCATCGAGGAGCTCAAGATCAACGACGTGCCCGTTGGCCTGTGGAACTTCGTCTCCCAGACCAATCTGAAGAACAGAGGAGCCATGGTCCGGTGAGTGGCGACCCCGCTGGAGTTGATCTAGTCTGATCAGATTTTTTTTTTTGTCGCGAGGAGTATGACACGTTTGGGGTAAAGGGTGCATCAATCGTTTTTTTTTTTTTGGTGCCCATGAGTAATTGCGGTGCTTGAGTAAACCGCGGTTCTTTAGTCGTGGGCTGCAGACCTTGAAGCTCGAGTCTAGAGCCAGGGACTATTTTCCCGTTATTTCACCAATCATGTCCCTCGCCATCCCCTGCTGACGGCCGGTTCTCTTTCTCCCAGCGACAAGCTGGTGAAGCTGGTGCCGGCCACCGGTCTGCGCTTCAACGGGTTCGGCTACTCGGCCTTCGACACGGTCGGCTTCTCGTTCGGCGAGCGCTTCTCGCTGCAGCTGCGCTTCAAGACCTTCTCCGACGAGGGCCTGCTGTTCTTCGTGGGCAACAACGAGCGCGACTTCCTCAGCGTGGAGATGGTCGGAGGCGGCATTGTCTTCCAGGTAGGACGGCGGCGGGAGAGGGGAGTTTTGGGACGGGGAGCTGTATTTGGATAAATTATAATCAAAGCCGATATTCAATTATCACTATAAACAAGAGACTGGGAGCATTTATCCTAGGATATGAGTCCAGAATCTAGACAGCGTTACGCTGGAACTCCAAAAGAAGTAACGTGACTAGTGAGTCTACATACATAGGTCTCTGGCATCGTTTTTACCCTACATCGCTGTCAATCCGACGAACTAATTTGATCTAACTATGATAAACATCAGACATTGACCCGTTTGCTCGTCTGTCCGCTAGTACTCTCTGGGTGACGGCCCGGCCACGCTGCGCGGTGACGGTCCCTACAACGACGGCGAATGGCACGTGTTGGAGGCCTCCCGGGACCGCCAGAGCGGAGTGCTCAAGATCGACTCGCAGCTGGTCGCACAGGTCGGTAGAACAGAGGGGACGGGAGCGAACGGAGCGGGATGTTATGAACGACCATGCTTGGTGCGGGGGGATAATCTGTTGGAAATGATGGTGTTACGGTGGTTTTACGGTGACGGACGTTACAACATGCAAATACCTGTATATTGTTTGACTAACTTTAGTCTTTTTGGTCGTTTTAAGTGCAATGCAGTGTGCAAATGCAGTTTGTTCTTTGATGCTGGAAGCGAAAAATTTTGGTTGATAATAACGAGTGTTAGTGTCATGAATCGATTAATGAAAAATGTACAGTGGATCTAGTAAGGATCTCCAGACGCAACTAGATGGCGTTGAGCCTTAGTCGAGTCCATGTGATATTCAAGGAGAGGTCACTACCGAGCTGGGCCCGATGGGGAGGTGGGCGGGGGGGGGGGGGGGTGGCGAGGTCACGGTGCGGGTGACCTGTCAAACAGCCCCGGCACGGTGGGGCACTGCCGCAGGCAAATGGCGCACTCCAGCGTTGTTCCATATCGCGGTGGTGGGCCGGGCGGCCGGTTAGCTTGGCAGTTGGCTGCTTGGAAGGAAAGGATAATGAGGCATGACTATCAACTATGGTGAGCCCAAAGTAATGCAAATGTGATGTTAGTAATGCAGCTGGCAATGGAATGCTAGCGAATGCTCCGGGCGACCAGTAGCTATAAGGATTAAGATTATTTTAATTCAAGCAATAGAAAGATCGTATCGTTCGCCGGTTTTTTTTTTTTTTTTGACCGGCTGGCGTTTCATGCGTAGAGCGCCCTTTGGCAAATAATTATCACGCAGGTGATTTTCTTTTGCTGGTAAGATGGGCCTTGAAGGTCAAATCAAGTCGCTAGGAGAAGCTGAGGAAAAGTGGACGAATGCCACATTTTTGTGCATGAAGTCTGGGGTTAAAAAAGCTAAAAGTTATTATCCGTGTAAGCTAAAAACAAAAAGATCAGTTAATAAAAATATTGGACTCGAAATTAGCCTCTGTTTTGTCTGACCATGATTGCGTGTAAGACACCGGTCCAACCGGGTTCAACCCGGCCCAACCCGGTTAGGCTCCCTTTTTTTAATATAAATTTGGCCCGAACCTTTTGAAAGAAAGGAATCACAAGGACAAAGGACAAGTCCCCGCTAAGCTGAGCTTGTTGCGTTGACCCTGCTCTCAACCCTCCGATCAAGCAATTCCTGGTCTATGGCAGAATTTAGAGTCCAAATTTTAACGTGCGCACATAGGCGCGCACGCCGGTCCCCTCACTGACTTCGCCTGACAGCGGCCTGCCGCTAACCAAAACCATACTGTCAGGAGCCGCTCAAAAACATCAAGCACACGTCGCGTTTCGAATCCGGACTTTTGCAACCGGGACGTGCGCTCTCACCACATGGCACGTAGAGTCCAACGCTCTACCGACCGAGCTACCGGGACGGATATTTACCTTGGGGTTTCGCCTCGTGACATTGACAGACGTCAGACACTTTGGCCGAACTTTAGCCGAAACACTGAGCAAGCTGCGCAGGGCGATAGGTGCTCGTAGCGTTGAGGTTGGGTAACCTGTGAGCTGAATGCGATGTCGTGAGTTCGAGCCCCACTCCCGGGTCTGGTTTTATCTAGACACGAACCAAAACCTTTCCTTCTACTGCAACACATATACCTAAGCACGATGACATCTTTCCCCAATACCTTTCCCCAATATCCCCTCCAAAAGTCAAAAATATAGCTTAAAAATGTTTAACAAGTTTCATTTTTTAAGAAAATATTTTTGGTCATTTGTCTGGAGCCATTTCAATTCTTTTTTTCTTTTCTGCTTCTTTTCGACCCGATAAACCCCACCAAAACTGAACGTGCCAAATGAAAAATATCGAACTCAAATAACAGTTTAGAAAAGCCTCATCATGCATCATGAAAAGCATAATGCAACTATCGACTGAATAGTTGCATGCTATGAATACGTCCTAGATTTCAATTATCATTGTTCAACATTTTGGCTGGAACTGACGCTGCCTCTGGCTTGCCCGTTTGTTTGAGATAATGATTCCCTTCAGTCGCATTCCTGCCGGTTCCACATGAACAGGATACCACTATACCGGAGTGAACGCACCCGCAACCATTATCCCCTCCCCTCAGCCTCGGCGCAGTGGCGGGCGGCCCTGGGCGGCCCACTCCCGGCGCTAAGCACGCCCCATGCGCCGTGATACCGCGTCACTCCCCCTCCCTCCTTCCCCCACAATGACCGGTGACCTGACTTTCCTCGGGATTTGGACTCGCCCTACCCCGACCGTAGCGCCACGTGGTGGCTCTGGAGATCTTAAATAGACCCACTGTACGCCGCCCTTACTAGGATGTCGTTCTGGCCTCTGACCCCTACCCTATCGTTGCTGCTGCAGGGCACCTCGCCTGGACGGAACAGCGTCTTGGACGTGACTGGAATGATGTACTTCGGAGGATACCCTGACAACATGCCCTTCCCCGAGGTCACTAACAGGTAAACATCTATAACTCTCGTACGTACATTGAGCTTACATCGTCATCTTAGGCCATTAATGTCTTACCTCAAGTAAGGCAAGACAACTTGGTAACTTGGTAACTTGGTAACTTGGACAACTTGGTAAAACTTAATTGTAGGTGGTTGTAAATAGTTGTAAGTCGTATTGTAATCCGTACTCTTGTAGCCATTTGGTACAACATGTAGTTGACCTTAGTTCGTACGATTCTCCGGCTTGTATCTACTACCGTGTTCTGATCTGACCCGTGTCTTCTCTATCCCACAGGGACTTTGAGGGCTGCATGGATGACGTGTCGTTCACTCGCTCCACTCTGAACCTGGGCACGAGCAAGGAGGCCCTCGGCGTCACTCCGGGCTGCCCGGCGCGGGTAGGTGACGGGGATATAGGCGGCTGGCTGGTCACAAAACGGACGCTTGATATATGGAGGTTTGCAGTGAAGAAATTAATGATCCGACGTTAAAGTGTCGATACGTTTGTTAAGCGTCAAACGGAGTAGTTGGGTCTTATTTTCTGGCATAAGTTGATTTCATCGTTCTGTAGTTCGATATAATGTATTTTCCGTAATTGTATAAGTATTTTAACTGTCATGACTGACTTGCACCATTCTGGTCGCTTCCAACCGCCCCCTCGTTTCTGACCATCTTCCTCTCCCTCTGTGCCCAGGTTGCGACGGACGTGTCATTTGCGTACGGCAGTCCCGGCTACGTGCTGCTCCCCATGGAGTCGGCGCCACTCCAGCAGCTGACGCTCAAGTTCAAAACGGCCGTGCCCGAGGGCCTGCTGTTCTACGCCACCAACAGGGACAGGGTGAGAGAGAATACTCCCTCCGGCCCCGGCTTCCAGCTGCAGAAGAGCGGATACGCGTGCTACAGTACCTGAGAGATGTTTCAATGTTCGGAGGAGGAGTTACTTGTTCGAATCCTTTTCCCTGCGTGACCGAGTTGTCGCAGTTCTGCCTTCCTCCCTGCCAGAGTCTGACCCTGATCATAATTCCCCACCACGTCTGATACAGCTCCCCCCCTCCCACCAGAATAGGGACGAGCTACTCATGCCCTGCCCCCCCCCCTCTCCTACCCTGATGGTACACTCTATCCCACAGAGTGAGTACGTCTCCGTCTCCCTCCGAGACGGCGGTGTGGTCCTACGCAGCCAGCCGGGCGGGGAGGTGTCCACTGCCTCGTTCTCCCGCTACGATGACGACCAGTGGCACGTGGTGGCCGCATCGCTGCTCGATGACAACATCCGACTCGAGATCGATGACTACGAGACATTCCTGTGAGTTGGACGGGGTGTACGGTCGGGATCTGTGTGTGGTTTAATGCTGGTGTGGTGCGGCTGTTCGCTTTTTCGTTGTTCTGTTCCCTTTCGCCGTTTTCGCTGTAAGTGAGTGCGAAATTTTTCTTTTAAAGTTGTTCATCAGGCTAATAACCGTGATGAGGGCCTCTAGCAGAGGTGCAACCGTGCAATTCCTAAGTAGTTGATAGTTTGTAATTCAAACAGACGTATATTTTCGGTTGGTTGAGGCTCGTTTGGAATGCTGCAGTGTCTTATGTCCATGTATCTTCATTTTATTCTTGTGTTATGCCTGCACTAGTTTTTAAACACCAATTAACCAGTCGCTCTAACAACTACTGAACCCCTCTATTTCAGCGTACCGAACCCGGTGCCGGGTCTGTCGGTGACCCTAAACTTGCCACTCTATTAACAACAACTGAACCCTCCCATTTCAGCGTGCCGAACCCGGTGCCGGGTCTGTCAGTGACGCTGCACTCTCCGCTCTACTTTGGCGGCCTGCCGTCGTCTGTTCGCGTCTCGGAGGACTCTGCCGCCAGTCTGGCCAGCTACACGGGTTGCCTTGGAGACGTGACACTGAACAACGTGTTCGTGAACTTTGCTGACGCCACGGAGCGGCCCAACGCTCAGCTGGAGCAGTGTCCGCTGCACACCGGTACTGCGGAAGGTGAGAGGACTAGGGGGAGAGTGGAGAGGGAGGGAAAGGCAGGCTGGCGGGAGGAGAGGGCAGGACGTGTTGATAATTTTTTAAACGGTGAAAAATTCCCGTTACCGAAATCTCATTGGTCTTTAATCAATGCGTTCGACGATGCTTTATTGAATCATATATACGCATTAAATGAAGCCTATATGATCATAATCATCGCTAGCTTTTTTGAAATCACTGAGTGTCTAATAAGTTATCACCGCTCATCATTCTAAGAATGCTAACCGATGTTACTCGCGTTTTCAGGATACGAGTACGAGTACTACTTATATGGCCCCGACGCCTTCCAAGACCCACTGTACTAAATCACAATGAATCACAACGCCCATTAGCGGAGCCCATGTTTTTACTTCGATCCTTGAGCTCTAATTTTCTGGCAATCTTCAATGCACAGTCAACCACATGTTACAGTTACTTATACAGTATCGACTTCTTTTAATAATATGCCCACCTTATCGGATTGTGCATCATTAATATTCCTGGGTACCTATGTCTTACGAGTCATTTTCGCTGTTATATATTTTGGATGTGTTTCGGAATACATTGCAAAATCACCAACACCTATTTTCTCGCTTATTTATCGTTGAGAGGACTTAGTGCCATAAGCCGGTAAGAAGTGTCCAACAGTGTGGCTTTACCCCGTATGATACCCACTAACTGCTCAAGAGCAGCTCGCATTTTTTGTCCGCCTCGCTTCATGCAACGGTTTTTAGTGGTGCTGACCATTTTCAGTGTTCCGTTGGTGGCTCACTTGTGCGAATCAGAGTGGTGTGGCCATTATACTAACGTTTCCTCTCTTGCATAGCCGTCTTAATTGGTTTCATAGTTTTCTAACATGGTTGCTGACATTGCTGACAGATTGAAGTGTCGTCCCCTCGGTTTTTGGAAGATGACCTCGTTTTCATGTGGATAATGGTTGTGTTGCTTTCCTATCAAATGACTTAATTAGAACGTCCCACGTGTTCCTGAGACAGTGTTTGAACCCGTTAACACATCTTTGTAAGACCCCTCTCCCTACTGAGGGTGGGTACAGTCCGGTCGTTTTCACGAGGACTAGAATGATCATTCCCCTCCTTTGACCAGCTGGCGGACCTTATCGGGAATCCCCTCAGCTGTTCTTGGTTGATGATTACTGGCGCATCGACTTTGTGGGTGGTGACCTCTGCTGACTATCCCGGTGGGCGCTGACCTTTGCTGACCTACCCTTGGACCTCAGATGACCCTGATCCCGCCGATCTCTACTGATTGACCAGGTGACCTTGACCTGACCTATTGACCCTGACCTGTTGACCTCAGCTGACCCTCTGACCGGTCCCCAGGCGCCGTGGTGCCGTCCACGGGTACTGCGACAGACACGGAACAGGTCGGACCCAGGCGTGGTGAGGAGGCCGACCTCGAGGAGCCCCAACAGCCGGAGATCGACACGGAGACGCCCGAGGCGACAGGTGGGTGACGGGCAGGGTTGACGGCTGCATGAGGCTCACGGGATTGACACGTGGTGGGTCCTGGCAAATTATAGAACATTTTGATGGTGTATATCTGATCTTTAAAGCGGCCTGGCTGCACCAATAGTATATAAAATGTTCACTTGGTGCTATTTTTAGTTGAATGGCCCTTTAAATGAATTTAAAGGTAGTGTGCCACCTTTGAAAGATTTCCCGTTTTATTTTTCCTAGGATAAGAAGCTTCTGTTTTTACCTAATATCGCAAAAAAAATCAAAAATGGGCCTGGAATAGTGCCTTTTTCGCCTAAAAGTTTATCGGTTTTTAGATATGTATAACAACTGTAGTGGGCTCACCTGCAAACAGGCGTCGGGCAACAATCGCGAATGCGGCGCACTTGTGACAATAAGCAAAGGTCATTATAGTGTTACGACCATACGACGTACGGGAATGAGTTATCAGCTGTCTAATCGTAGACAACACAATGTCGAGCCTTAAACTGTAAGCCTGTATTGGTATTGTTTCTTAAATTTGGCTGTCGAATGATGAAAGAAAGCGCGGTTTTAAGGCTCATGATTATATATATAAATGCAATGAAAACCCTAAGACTCATGCTAATAATTGTATTGAAAATAGGGCCAAGAAAATGAGACAACTGTTTCGTGCATAGCACATCGTCAGGTCTGAAGTAAACAATCATTTCATAGTTTTTTAAACGTCACACAAAGCCTGCTCAGTGAATACTGAGCAGGCTTTGTGTGACGTTTAAAAAACTATGAAATGATTGTTTACTTCAGACCTGACGATGTGCTATGCACGAAACAGTTGTCTCATTTTCTTGGCCCTATTTTCAATACAATTATTAGCATGAGGCTTAGGGTTTTCATTGCATTTATATATATTGGCTGTCGAACATTAATTTGTGGTTTGAAATATGATTTTATGTAAAATAATTGATATGAAACAGCCGTCTCTTAAGTTATGACCCCATTACACCACACGCAAGTGGCAGAAATGACAATGATCAGCTGACGCATTTTTCTTGGCCGAAGTCAGAGCGCGCGGCCCGACGCACCACGCGTATTTGGAAATTCCGACCTCGACGAGCATCAGAAGCCACCTAACAGGCGTGTTCGAAACCGCAGGAGATGATGATGAACGGGTTTATCGAAACTTGATTGGATGAGCCTACCGGTAATAGCGATTTTAGTGTGTGCATTTATTGTTCATAGTGGTGTGAAATGTGGTTGGGGTACGACCGACAACCCGTCGGGGCGAATTTCGCATTGGGGTACTCAAAATTTGAAGAATTTAAGACGTTTCCATAAGTTTTGAAGGTATGGATAAGTTCTAAAAATCCGGTTCTCCTTATCCGGGTCATTAACTCCATATGGTCCAAGAAAGCTGGCACACTACCTTTAAGTTATTAATGGACCGTAATCATTGTTGAAGGTAACCGAGGTCCAAGGAACACGTATTCACCCCTCACACCGTTCGCTCTGTTGTTGAATAGTGTCGGTAAACCGGACCTTCATCTTTAGCTCAACTGACCCCCGTCTCCTCCACAGAGCCCGAGACGGAGCCGCCGGCGCCGGCGCCTCCGACCACGCCGGAGCCGACGGAGCCCCCGACCACCACCCCTGAGCCCACCGAGCCACCCACCACGACGCCGGCTCCCACTGAGCCGCCCACCCGGCTGCCGGCGCCGGTGGACGAGCCGCGCTGCGGCCTGCCGCTGCGGCCCAATGAGGACGGGGACATCACAGAGTACAGCGGACAGAGATTCGGTGGGTGCATTAGATACAGAGGATAGTGATTCGGTGGGTGCAGTGGGTAGAGGTTTGACGTTTGCCACATTGCACTGTCGAGCATTGCCATTGATAAATATTGCACACGTAGGTATTTCTCAAACAGCGTCCCGACGCTTGGTGTCTTGATAATTCATTTGCTGTCCCTTTTCATGTTCTATATTATTACTGCCACTCTGGATATTTTCAGCTTAGATTGTAACAGCATCACTAAATGTTGACTCGCTGCTATAATTTCTGGGTTCTCTTTCGTTTCTGAACCAATGAATGCCTTCTCCCCACTCCAGGCAACCGTCCTGACTCTCGCTGGGAGTTCTCCACCCTGCCCGGCAAGATCTACATCAAATCGTCCATCTCCGTTGAGTTCAAGACGACGGCCCGCGAGGGCATCATCTTCTACGCCGCAGCGGAGAACCAGATCGACTTCATCGCGCTTTACGTCAAGAACGGCAATGTGAGTTACGGAAGGTTAACACTGCACCCTGCCTTTCACGGGATGACGTGAGACCTATTTAGGGTTAACATTTGTGAATTTATCTATGACCCAGACTAAAATGCGAATCATATTTTGCTGCGCTTGAGGTTAACGGTATTTACCTGGTAGATCGGGCGTATTTTGCACTCTGCTTATCAATAATTTCCGCTGTTTGAAATGTTATCGCTTTCAGTCATCAAATTATGTCACTGCTGTCGATTTTTACTTTTGTTTAATACTGTATAGTACCCTACCTTGCCTGACCCTGACCACTTTCTGCCCATCTAACCCTCACTGTCCCTCTTTTCAGATTGTGTACGCGTTCGACTGCGGCAGCGGCGCTGCAGTGATCTCGTCGGACAAGGCCTACAATGACGACACGTGGCACACGGCCCGCTTCGACCGCAACCAGCTGCTGGTGGGTGGTGGTGTAGTCGGTCGGCTGTTCGGCCGGTGGGTCTGTCCGTCTGTCGAGGGACGGGGCGTGGTGTGTGGTTGATGATTTTCAGAGCTGGCGTGTAAGAAGGCTCGTGTTCCTGTTTTGTGTTTCATATTTTTTTCCAGAATCATGAAGATCTGGGCCCTAATTTTTTGTCGTTATCTTGTATTTTCATTGGTTTGGAGGTATCCGTTTCTGTTCGCTTCTGAATATAGTATTCAGCAAATAACTACTGGCACTGTTATCTACAAAGTTGTCATTTTGCCGTGCTGACAGTGTATGCGGCTCCCTCCCACCACCACCTCCCTCCCTGCTTCTGTAACACCTCTCCCCTCCCTCTTCTTCACAGGGCGAGCTGTACATCGACGACGAACTGGTGGCCTCCGGGGAGTCTGTGGGCAACTCTCAGAACATCCAGGTGGACCCGCCCTTCTACCTCGGAGGTCTCTCGGAGGAGATTAAGGAGAACGAGCGCCTGCAGGGCAATGTGGAGGTGAGGAGTGGGGGAGGTCCGAGGGTAACATCGGGAGAGGGTCGTGAGGTTCGGTATGGCGAAGATGAAGATGAAATGGGACGCGGAATTATGAGGGACGACTGACGAGTGCATTAACTGGTGCCATCTTTTTTTTTGTTACATTTAAAGTTACATGATCATTTTGTGATTTCCTTTACCTGACTTTTTATCGGGAGTAAATTGCTACTTACGTCATTACTCATTAGCAGACAAGGTCTTGACGTCTTTCTAATGAACATCCATAAACACTATTCACCTCGAATTCCACCCACAGAAGATCGACGCCAGCTTCAACGGCTGTCTGCGCAACCTGCGCATGTACAACACCAACTTCGGCAACCCGACGCGCTCGATTGCCATCACGCCGTGCTCGAACAAGGTGGAGCAGGGCGCCTTCTTCTCCGTCGAGGGCGGATACATCGTGGCCTGTGAGTACTGTGGAGAGAGGCGGACTGGAGTGTGAAGGGAAGGGGGAGGAGTGGGGTTTAAGTGCTGAATTTGTGTGACTGGATTGCGGCTGGGGTGGTGATGTGTTGTTGGGGGTGAGGACTGGTGTGACTCTTAGGTCTGTGGCGTGATGAAGGACGGTGATGGTACGTTTTGCTACTTGCTGATCGAGAAGATTTGAATCAGTAGCATTACATGTTTGGCTCTTGTTTGCTGTAAAAGTTTACAGAATGAATAGATAGCGTTTCTGATTAACCGATAACGCCATTTACCCTGTCGTCTCGCGCCCTGAAACCTGTCACTCAGACACTTACTTGCCGACTCCCGCCACATTAACTGAGCTCAGACTGTAACACTAACCGCCTCTTACCGTCCACAGCGCCCCGGTTCCGTGTGGGTATCACGGTGGAGATTGAGCTGGACATCCGGCCGAGGAAGCTGGGAGGCGTGCTGCTCGCCGTGCACGGCAAAAAGGACTACCTGCTGCTGCAGATGGTCGAGGATGGATCGCTCCTGTGAGTGGGGAGAGCAAGCAGAGGGCTGGGGGATGTGAACTCTAGAGGTGGGATTGTTCTAACGTGCTCTACCGAGTATATTTGATTTACTGTGGGCCTGCGTTTTACTGCACATACTTCAGGATAGTGGTTTGGCAGTGACTGTTTCAGGGTCAATAATCAATCAATTCCGGGATACCTTTGTTCTAAGGCCGTCAGCAATTTCACGTTCGCTCCCGCATATGCTTGTCGGTGCGTCGATATATAAACATTACAACTCTGGTGGAGTATGACAACAACATTCACGTGTCATCGTACGCCTCCTGACTACATCTGACCGCACCTGACTGTCTGTCACGTCACGACTCTCACGTCTGTCCGTCTGTCTGCCAGACTGACGGTGGAGAACGGCCGCGGAGAGGTGACTGCCGTCTACAAACCCACCGAGAAACACCAGCTCTGCGACGGCAACTGGCACACCATCAAGGGTAAGTCGGGGTTGATCGTCTGGGATAGACGGCGTGGCAAGGGGATTCGGTGCCGGCTTTGCGAAAGTATTTTTCTCAGATTTATGGAATAGCACTTCCCATAGAGAGCAACCGTCCACTTGTTTTTCATTTCTGGTTGTTTCTTTCAATTATTGCTTAATTCCATTTGATTGATTGTTCGAAAGAGATTGACACCTGCCTGCTCGGCCCCTTCCCCTTCCCTTACTCTCAATCTCACCCTCCCCTAACCCCGCCATTTAACCCTCCCCTCGGTCCGTTGCAGTGGTGAAGGTGCAGAACGTGGCCACGATGACGGTGGACTCCATCACCGTCTCGCCCGTGTTCGGCGTTGCCGGCGTCTCCTCCACCGACACCAACAACCCGCTGTATGTCGGAGGCGTGCCCGACCGCAACGTCCGGGGACTCGTCACGGAGGAGAACTACGTCGGCTGCATCCGCAACCTCTACATCAAGAACAAGCCCAAAGTCAGCCTCAGTTATGCCAAGGTGTACGGAGCGGTCACCGCCAACACGTGCCCGCTGATCTAAGAGGTGGGAGGCTTGGCGGGATAGCGGTGAGTTCCGCCAAGGTTCTGTAGGTTTGGTCAATTATACTCCAGCGAGTAGCTGAGAGGTGACCCGCTAACGCAAATGTAGCGTGAAGTGTTGTTGAGTGTTAGAATGTGCGTTCGTTACGTGAGATGTATGCTTGCTGTGTACTTGAAGTGTGTGTATGTTGCTGTCCGTGATACCAGTTTTAGCTCGCCCACTGCCAGACTTATCGGTATTTAATGTTTTTACATTTGAATCGGTGTTGTTCTTTTCCCGGCTTTGCTTCGCTGCTTCAATTACATTCCATCCCTTATTCCAACGTACAACATTCCCTATCTGCTGGAAGGAATGATCTGATCTTTGTGCCTAGCGTTGTTGCCTATTTCGTCTATCATTTTTTCTTTGAATTTTCGTTTTGGTCTTGGCAAACAATGCCGTGAAAATATATGTTCTGGTAAAAGACAATGTCTCAGTGGAAATGGACCAGATCTGCAGTGTGGTAGAGTAGCACACATCAGCCACAGGTACTTGTTATATTCATCGATATCTCAATTCGTCATAGGTGAATCATCACAACTGCCTGTTGTGTGGTCATGTGGACCCACTGAATTCCGCTTTTCCACTTTCCGTAATACGACACTTCGGCTCCTAAGAAGAATAAATTCATATTCTAACATCCATTCATATTTGCAGACAGGGAATGGGACGGAGCAACATTACACAGTAATCTACTCAGACCAGCCTACGATAAAAGTGACGCTCGTATGTAGTGTACTTCTGTGCCTAGGTTACGTCCACATTTCATCTACACAGCTCCTCGACCATGGAAGACGAACGGGTTATTACACGCCGATAATTACCAGCATTCACCGTATCTAGTGTTTGGTCCCACAAGGTCATATACAGGTTATGAAGTGAAGTATCAGGTATCTTGACCAAGATATAATTAAACCTTTCATGATCCGCGGCTCTGCCGCCGCTTACGCCTCGCATTTAAAGCATCACCCATCGCTCTGCGAAGCAAGGCATCATCCAGCACATCTATCAACCATTCGCCGACCTTGCCGGACCTTGAGAGATCAACTGCTTCCCCAAACCCAGTCCTGCCATGCGCTGCCCGGTCCGCGGACCGCCACCAGAACACAGACAGGTCCTGGTGCAGTCCCTGGACAGTCAGAGGGCCACTGGTGCCGCTGGTGCCGGTCACTCGGCCCATTTGGTGATGTCCAGTACCGGCAGCACGCCGGTGTCCAGACAGGATGTCCGTGGGTTCCTGGAAACAAAAGGTTTACATGTGAGTGGTACCCCGGTCAGGCACAGGCTGGAAGAGCATATGGGTTGGTATGAATCATCATCGTTCCATTCGGTTCCTGATGTGTCAACCAAGACCTGTTCCCTCTATTATCGAAGACGACTGCCCCTTCATCTACTGCCAACCGCCTCTGAGTGCCGAGATTTCTATAAATTCCATCCCCTGCTGCTATCTGGTGCGATTTACTTACGTGTTGGGGTCGGGCTTGATCATGGAGAGCGGCTGTACCCACTCCATCTGGTCATCATTGTCGCAGATGACCCGCGACAGTCGCACCTTCCTGATCTCATTCAGCTGGTCTGAGGACAGCGAGGACGGCGCACGTCATTACCTTAACTTTATTTAGAATCATTAGCTGATAACCGCTTACTGGATGTCATTCAATGCTCGTTCAATGTTCACGATATACAAAAAGCAAACAAAGAAACAGTCACACGTTTGATAGACAATCAGTGCCTCGATCTTCCCAAAAACTTCACGACCTGTTCACGCCACCCACCCCGCATCCCTCGTCCCCACCCTCCCCACTCCACCCCCACTCACCGAGTGTGAAGGAGCCCGTCTGGCCACCCTCCTCGTAGAAGTAGCGATCTCCGGCCTTCTGACGCGCGAACTGGTCCGTGATGATACATCTGAACACCGGTCCGACCAGGGCATCCTCCACCGGCCGCTCCGACACGCCACCAATAAACAGATCCACGTCGTCGACCGATTTGTACAGCAGCGCGAACCGGCTGATGGTCTGCGGAGGTGGGAGAGGGGAGGTCAGGTCAGGTCACACTATCCAGTATCTTTAAGCAGTATCTTTATCTATCCAGTATCTTCACGATTGAAGTTTTGCAGGTGCGGAAGTCAGGCTAGGCCACGCTATTTATATACACTGTGGGCCACGCCGTCTATTGAGTTATACTCGTACCATGTTATACTAAACAGGGTCGCTAACCGACTGCCGATCTGGCCCCTGAATTCGATGTGAAAAGTCAAGTCAGGTTAGGCCAGTCCGTTCATTTTTATACCCTTGAGCCAATGTCAGTCATGATGAGCTCATAGGCGTTTTCACCGGGAATTAGTGACTCGGACAACTCCCCCCGTTGGTGACCCGTTCTCACCTCGGAGTCGATCTCGGTAGCCAGGTCGCTCCAGGTCTGTGCCTTCTTCATGCCGCAGATCTCCCTCAGCTGGTTGTAGGACGGGATGCCGTGGTCGCGGCCGCGCTGGATGTTCAGAGCAACAAGGTCCATTCCAAATAGGCCCTCGAATTGGAACAGCCGACCCAGCAGCTGTGCGGGAAACAAACAGAGGTCAGGGATACAACATCCGGAACAGACCCTCAAACTGAATCATCCGACCCAGCAGCAGTCCGAAGCATTAACAACATCTTCATTTAACAGAAGCATGCAACGGATCTACAGCTAAACTACACAGCCGGTCCTTTTACGGTCTGTCATCTTTTATTTGCATCCCCACAATTTCTCTTCTCTCCTTCACCCATCCCAGCCATTTCCTCGCCTACTACCAACCTCCTTGCTGAAGGCGTTGTCGAACTTCATGCTGGGCATCTCGAGCAGGCCTCTGAGCAGGCCACTGAAGGCGTCCTTTCGGTACAGGTCGAACGGTGTAAACTGTGTACGGTGCAGCGGCGTCACCTTCTCCTTATTACCGAATCGCGACATCGAGCTGGGGGCGCACGGGGGGGGGGGGGCGGTACGGTTATGGAGCGCACGGTACAGTCATAATTCTACACGGTACAGTCGATCATAAAGGCATATGCTACAGTTGCAGTATATGCTTGTAGCACGAGGCGGAAAACGGGTTGGGGCAGCTTGGGCACTGGCCGTAGTGTGTACCTACTTCTCCTGAACTTGCAAAGCCATCTAAATATATAAGCGTATAGGTGCTACATGGGTTCAGGTCAAAGTTTGCCCTCTATTGTTCAAACTGCTCCGCTGTCTACGCTTCGAGCTTTGTGTCGATATCTCATGTCGAAGCCATAAATCACTTCCAAGTACTACAAACTCAGCACCTACATGATGTTGTCGGGGATGAGCGTGTGTCCCATGCGGAAGGCGGCGGTGGAGAACTCGTTGGTGATGCCGGCGCTGATGGTCGGGTCGTAGTTGTTGGAGAAGCCGCTCTTCAGAGGCGCCAGCAGCTTCGTCTTCTCCATGTGTCGACCGCCTGCACGGAGAGGGTTAATGGTTACAAATAGGGCAGCGTGTTGCGCTCTACTGCTAACTGTATGGCACAGCTCATGATCTGACGAATTCTTGGGCGGAGAAGCGCATCGTGAGAAGAGTAATGCGATCAATTATGCATTTATTATTTTGAAAAATTTAGCATGCTGGCCATTTTCCCACTCACCATTCTCCTTGACATTCGGCCGATAACTATCGACAAAAAAAGGGTAAACACGAAATGTGGTGACTATGTAGTAAAATATAAACATTGACCGCTGACCTGACCTGGCGGAATAATCAGACATTGACTCACCGATAACGATGGGCAGGAACTCGTTATAAGTGATGTGCTGCAGCTCGGCAGCCACGATGCGGCGTGCCTCCTGGAACAATCTCTCGTCGTCCCAGTGAGGGTTCACAGAGGCCAGAGCCGCAGCCAGCCGGTTGTGCTCGCGCATCCAGAGGGTGTGCATCAACACCAGGTCCACCTGCTCGTTCACCCGCTCATCACCTGAGGAGGGGGGGGGGGGTAATGATGGAGGTTACATACAGGCACAGATGCCTGGTCTTTTGTGATGTCCAGGACGGTGGGATACACGATACGTCCCATCTTATCAAAAGCATGAATCCAAAAAGCGGAGCCGCTGGTAATCAAAGTTCAAATTATAAAAAAGTAATTCAACTACTGCCATGTATGAATAATTTCATAACAATCTTTCATCCATGCTACTCCAGTTCTTTGACCCCAAGGTGGCGCCATCCTGGCGTATCCGCAAGACCACGACTGCCACATCATCTAAGCAAACTAAGACTGCGCTATCAACCAAAGCTCCCACCACCAGCACCACACATATCTTACCGGCCTTGAAGCAGGTATGCTCGGGCTGTTTAACGTCCTTGCAGGTGAAGGAGTCGGCCGGCAGGTAGGGGTGGCCATGGACGGGCCGCGATTTGAGCAGGCCGCCGCGGTGACCCCGCAGCTCCATCATCTCGTGCTCGGTGGAGCCGTACACGTTGCTGCCGTCCACGTAGGCCGTGATCTGGTTCATCTGTGAACGGGAGGAAGAACGTCAGCCGAACTGGCAACTCGTGGTAAAGGAATTTATTTTACTTTGTCGCTAAGCATGGACACATTGCTGCTATAAGTCGTTAATTAATTTCTTTAAATATCCCGGCTTAAATAAATCTTGGATCTCGCATAAAATTAAGTGTCGGGTGAACTATCGGGATGAAATCAATCTTGGGTAGATAAATAATAACCGAAGAACAAAGAGGCATGTCAATATGCTATAGTTATGTGCCATTTCACAGTTATGGGTCTTGCTAAAGTCAACTCATTTCGTCACATAGACGGACATGCTCCAGCCTTGAGGCGTCACACCCATGTCTCCATATTCTGCAGCCAGGCTCGCCCAGAGCACACCCTGCTGAATTTGTCACCACAGTGTCTGACTCATGGACCGGTCAGGCGGCCACAGATGACGTCACAGGATCGATCAGCCACCGTGGTCAGATCAGGAGGCGATGACGTGCCCAAACCGGAGTTTATGGCTCTGAGAGGCCTTACAACGTAGCGGTGGCTCCTGTCGGACCAGTATGGTGCCTGTTTTGGCAGAAATGCCGTTTTAGTCCGAGAGCGGACTGAAGTAATCGCATAACATGGCTCTCCACTTGGAAAGTCCCAAATCAGCTCAGATTTTTTACGGCTGTTCCAGTTGGTATTAGCTGTGCTGAGAGTTGATATTCCCCGCTACAAGTCATGGTATTGCTTTTACCAAGACCCGTGCAATTAACTTGTCATAACCGTTACGAGCGGCCAAATTTATTGGCATAGTCCTTCGATACTGAATAATGATACCCGTACCTAATACTTACATCCCTTCCCTACCTACATACCTACCTACAATTGTCCAATTCAATGTTTCCAAAAATTAACAATTTAGCAAGGACTGTGTTGAAACCGTACCTACTAACTACATTCTTTTACCACATCCGTTAATATCTCAAGAACAGTAGACCAATAAAAAGTCAGTTCCGGCGATAAGAAATCGACAGGACCTTGGAGTTAGGTCTTATTTTCCCCTATCAAACAATAACCTCCCTGTCTCTCCACCATTCACTGCTCTATCCACAAAGGCGTGTCCCACACCGCAACACCGCGCCGCTTCAGCCAGTCCGTACTTCCCTCGGCCTCTCTCCCGGAGTTCCCTGCACTCTCTCCCGGAGTTCCATGCACTCTCTCTGACCGCAGACCACAGCTGTGCGGAATCCCCGCTCATTTCCTGTGCCCTCGGCGCGTCCTGTGCGGAACACTTGAAGAGTTGATGACACGAGGTGACAGCTAATGATGTGGTGGTGACTCGGCACTTCCTGTCGAGCTGAGACTCCCCCCCCCCCCCATCCGCACTCGCGCATCGCCGGAGGTCAGCGTTCAGCACCTAGTTCACGACAAGCGCGTGGTTTGCCTCTTCATGGATCATCAACCTCCGATCGTCACGCGAATCAAGCGGTGCGGAGTCGGGGACCTTGAAGCGGTAACCTTTGACCCCGTCTGTCTGGTGCCGCCCACGCTCTCCGCCCGCGCGCCGTGAGAAGCGGTGTCTAGCCGTGGCCGGCCGTCACGCTGGCGGTTCGTGGAAGCCCTCGGGGTGGCCACGCCCGATCGGTGCCTTCACGGATGTCGACTGGAACGCCCGAGTCTATTTTGGACCTTCCCAGACCGCTGCGGTCCGTTCCGGACCGTCTCAGACCGTCTCGGACCGCTCATGATTGTTATCGAGCCGAGTGTTGGCATGTGAGTCAATTGAGTCATAAAAGAGCAGACGGTCTGAACAAGGCGGGCGTGACATAAGCGTAAGCTCGAAATAAACGGTCTTGCGCCCGCTTGCTCCGGAGCGTTGCTGTTGCCAAGTTGTACAAAGCCGGAGCGGATGGTTTTATCAGTATGATACGACATTTCGGCGATGTCAGCCGATGTTTTTGCGGTTTTTCACCGCTCCAGTACCGTTAGCATGCTCGGTCGTGACAGCTCTGGGATGTTAAACAAGATGAAGTTGGGACGAGGTCGTTGTTCAATGCCGGATGTGCGGGGGCGGTCAAAGCAGAGATGAGGATAGTTCAAAAGCTAGAAGATATAATGTACCTAAATCGCACTGCGCGTTATCACTTTAGACACACCTTGTTCACTCATTTGTTGACTTACCTACTCTATTTAAGTTTTACCTTACCTCAAAAGCCTTTCTGATGAAATTCGCACGGGAAATAAAGCGCCCAGCGTAGGTTGTTGTTATGTTCACCGTTGCAGTCATGAATTGCATTGTACCTAGTCTGACCGGGGGATTCGACCTTATTTTCTGCTCCGCGCTTTTGACAGATCGTTGCGTTCTACACATCACCTACTATCTTTTCAGATGTAGCACTAGCAGCTCGACCGGGACGCGGTCTCATGTACTCGTAGCGTCCTCACCTCTCCCAGCGGCCCCATGTGGCGTCCTCACCCTCCTCCATTGTCCTATGTAGCATCCTCACCTGTTCCCGGGGTCCCCTGTAGCAATCTCACCTGTTCCCGTGGTCCCATCTAGCAGCTGGGTATGGCGAGGTCCCACTCCCATGTAGCACCTCAGCCTCGCCTGTTCCCGCGGTCCCCTAAAGCGGTCTCACCTGTTCCCGGGGTCCCATGTAGCAGCTGGGCCTGGGCGCGTACACAGAGCGCACCATCTCCATGCAGCGCTCTCCGAACGGCGCGTAGAACGGGTCGTTGGGCGGCATCTCGATGGGGTAGCACTCCGAGTGGATCTCTGAGTCACGCACCTTTACACCGTACTTGCAGCAGCTGATCTTCACACCGTTATCGGCTGCAAAGGGGAGACGGTAACGGGTTAGAACGCACACATTTGTGGTTATACAAAATGCAACGAAATAAAGTAGAAGGTTTTTAACGCGGTTAACACAGCCCAGTAGCACAAGCAAAAAACAAAATAACATTTTGTCGTTTAATATCAACCTAAAAATACTAAAACCATTCTCCATTTGCTCTCTAAGCTATTTTTTCATGCTTCCCACCTCGGTTAATATATCCCAATAAAATCCAATCCCAGAACCGTTCCGCCATGAACTGCTTACTCTCGATCATGGGCGTGTGCGTGATGTCGTGATCGAGGAACTGGCCGTACTGCATGAGCAGCATGCTGTGTCGCGAGTTCTCGGCGTGGTGCGCCGGGATGACGATCATGCTGACCACGCGGGCCGATGGCAGCTCGCTGTTGTCGGTGGCACGACGCGGCTCCAGCAGACCTGGAAGTGAAGGAGAGTTGTTACTCTTTCGGTGATGATGTTCGATGCAATAAACCTGGAGGAGAGGCGCTGTAAGGTACGCCGGTTTTCTACGAAAGCCTGAAGAAGGGAAATTGCGCTTAGGAAGAGTAAATAGTGAACATTAAACAATCGCTGGCCTGATGCTGAGCCTTTTCACACTTCTATCTTTTCATCTTTAGGATTTTCATCATCGGGTAACCTTTAGTGAAACGATATAACATTGACATTTAGGAACAGTCCTTGACTGATGCCAATAAAGAAACTACCAATCCTATGAACGCTATTCCAGGCACATCATGCATGGCATTCAGAGATCCTTTTTGTCCGTGGTCATCACGAAAAAGGTGCGCCTCAAAGCTTATGTTTGATGCATTATATAATTCGTAATCGTGCCCCGGATAACAGTAAAAGTATGGGTCGTATTTTTAGGAACGTTAACTGAAATTGTTTACCGTTGAGTTTCGTTTAGACAAGTCCCGTCTCCATCCATCTGTCCATCTCTGTCCCTCTCCGTCCGTCTCCGTCCCGTCTCCGTCCCGTCTCCGTCCCGTCTCCGTCCCGTCTCCGTCCCGTCTCCGTCCCGTCTCCGTCCCGTCCCGTCCGTCCCGTCCCGTCCCGTCCACTTCCCTTCCATCCTCCGTCCGTCCCCGTCCCATCCTCTCCTGTTCCCTACCGTCCCATCCTCTCCTGTTCCCTACCGTCCCATTCCTCATGTTCCCGTCCCGTCCCGTCCCGTTCCTCCCGTCCCGTCCCGTTCCTTACCGTCAGCGTAGGCGGCCATTCCGATCCTCTGCAGCGCCGTCTCGGCCCTGCCCCAGTGTCCGTGCTGCAGGTTGTTGCAACTGCCGTCAATGGTGCGGTACTTGGAGTCGCGACACCGCAGCGGCTTCTCACAGGTCTCCTCGAGGCTGGTGTTCCGCAGGGTGACCTTCACCAGGCCAGCGACCGACTCCAGTGGGGACAGGTGCTGGCTGCGGGGGGGGGGGGGGACGGGTCAGAGGTCAGATAATGGGAGGGTGGCTAGGCCTTAGATGAGATCGGAATCGGATATTCGCTGGGTCAAACTGGGAATCATAAGGCTAGCCTATCCATTGGATAATCAAGTCAACAGTTACTCTTTCGGATACCAATCGAAATATGACCGAATTAAATGTCAGTTTCAAGGACTCGATCATTTTGGAAGGGATACGCACCATTGAATTTACAACTTATCTCATGAACTGATAAAATGCACCGTCAATTTCAGTGCGCTGCCGATAAAACAATAGCCTTTGCTGAAACCGATAAAACTCTAACAAGGACAGACGAAGGCTCAGATATCGAAACCATAATCAATAACAAGAGCCAGCGATGAAATCATTCTGTCATCAGCGGTGGGCATCGGGGAATCGTGAACAGAACCGTGACTAACAGCTTGTATCACTTGCAAAAGCGATCATATAAGATCATCTCAGTGCTAATGACGACTGACTTCTGTGCTAAGTAGAGCAACTGACCCCATAAAACGCGAATAATAAAGGCGTCGATGGAAATGCTATGCGAGCGTGCGAGATAAACATTTAAAGAGCCATATCGACCGTTTGTCTCTACAAGAATAAAATGTTAGCAGGGTGCCGTTTTAGCCGTGCAGCGCACCCATACGTATTTGTTTATGTCAACTATAAAACTTGTATCCGGCCACAAGAAAAACAGCCCGCGAAAAATGCTAATGACGCTAGTGACAGGAAGGAATCATAAATGTAGGAAATGAAAGGCTACGTACCTAAAAATATGTACGGCATAATTATACCTACGATAGCTTATTCACGAGTATTCCAGTCTCGTTATTCTGACAATCGCTTGATGCTGAACAGGATAGATCATAAGCCGTTGCAACAAAATAATGGATTGGACACTTATTAGTAAGCTATCTGTACGTACACTTAGTTGCATGTTTGCAATACCGATCGCCAGGCTCAGACATTGTTACGGAGTTGGAAACGTGTAGATCGGTAGAAGATGAACGTTTTTCATCATCATCATCATCATGTATTCGTATGGCATCCGTTAAAACACGGCTTTTCAGCACAAGAGTCATTCCATATATGCACTGTCCTTAAGGCTAATGATCTAAAAACCTACTAAAATACTACGAATAAGCCATTTATACTCATTTTCTAAGAGATGCTGTTAAAATCCAAGTTACCTACAAGCGTATTTTAAAATAAGCGGCGGATGAGATCTATTCTATCTGGGTAAGACCAGCTCGACATTTCCGCATCCCCGCGCGGAACGCTACGACCGTGCTGGCGTGGCGAACCTCGTTCGGCGTCTCGTTCCAGCTCGCTGCTGCCCGAAACCCGAAAGAACGTCTGGCGAGCTCCGTGCGGACCCGCGGAAGTTGCAGCATTCCCGCCATTGATCCTCGCGTTTCCCTCTCGGTTACACAATCGCGACGCTGCAGCAGGTCTCGCAAGTGCGATGGTGCATGGACAGAGTTGAGGAGGCGGTGCACCATGGCGAGGTCACGTTCTGTGATGAGTTGTTCTACTCTCGGCCACTCAAGTTCAGTAAGGTGAGGCGTGATATGCTGATGACGTCGGCAGCATTTAACTATTCGTGCACCATGATTAATTATTTTTTGAACGCGTTTTCGCTGTGTAGCGTTGCATGCTGCCCACACTGTCGCGCAATACATTATGTGTGGGAACACCAGGGCCTCAATAATCAATTTCTTGACTTCCTGTGGCAGCCGACGGGAGAATTTGGAGAGACCTATCAGAATAGTATAAGAACGTTTTACTATATTCGAAATATGTTTTTCAAACGTGAGGTTTTCATCCAAAATAAGCCCAAGAATTTTAGCGTTTGAAGTGGGGCGGAGCATTGTTTCTCCAAATTGAACTTTCAGCTCATTTCCTATTCTTCTTTGACGTGTGGAGAATAGAACGATCTCTGTCTTTTTGGGATTAATTTTTAGTGAATTTTCTGTAAACCACCGCTGAGCGTCGCTCAGCGTTTGTCCAATTTCAAGCTCCAACTGATGTTTTTGGCGGTTCTGTGCAGTCAGTACTGACAGCACCCTGCAACGATGCTTTTGCAACACTCGCATGCCGAAGATGATGAAGGATTAATTGAGACATCAGTGAAGATCGGACGTCACTACTCCACGAGTGGCTAGCTGAGTTCGTTCATCCATTGTCTTTTTATTGCGTCGCTGAATAGCCAAAATGGTACGAGATTAGTTAAGCTGTGGTGGACGTATTTGATTACCAAATTAGATAACTAGACGTACATAAAATTCCTCTCTGGCATATGACCAGACAGCATTTATCAATCCATCCAAATATTGCTTCACGGCCACACCTAGATAGCATGAAGACCCGTTTGCAGGTAAGCTATCCGTCTCGCAATTTAAGCTCGTCGCCCGTCGTCTCGGTGACCGGAGGAATCGATGGTTCTACCACCGACATAAGGCGGTATTAAGTCTGAAGCTCTGACTGGTTTCATGTTGCCCAAAAGATGATAATAACCGGTTCTGTATACAGGCTAGAGCAAATAAGGATAAGTTCAGTGACATTCTTTGAACAATGCACATTGCCTTTAATTCTAACTTTTTCTGTGCTAGCTTATGATGGACTTATCGTTTTTAGTGAATAGAATATGTCGCACTGAGAAATCAAATGAGAAAAAATGAGAAATTAATTATTGAACTCTTTTAGAATACGGCGCATGGTTAATCTCGAACTCGGAAAGTGAAAACCCGAATGGTTTTGACATATTACGACACGTAGTCGGCATCAGTTCCACATACACGATCGGCGCTCACTCGTGGCGGCGTGTGAATTCTAGCCTCAAGGCGATCGGTACACTCACTGCATAGCGATCGGTGCTCCAACTCCACAGCAATCGGTACTCACTCCATGGCGATCATCTTCGACGCGGAGAGCGCCACCTCTGCCCCGCTCATCTTCTTCAGCGCGGTGCGGGTGGGTTGCTGCAGCTTCCTGTGACTGAAGGCCGGCTCCTGCGGTGACACCACGATGTTGTCCTGTACCAGCTGGGCGTCCTGCTGGCGCCGCCGAGTCTGCGCGCTGGCGCCGAATTTAGCGGCCTTCTCCACCTCGCGCTGTTCGACGCGCACGGTGACCGGCGGCGGCTCGACGTACACGATGAGACCGGGGCCTGAGAGACAGAGCAGATACAGTCAGCCCAGGGCCTGTGTAATAGCGTACACGATCAGACCGGGGCGGCGGGGCCTGGAGAGACAGAGCAGACACAGTCAGCCCAGGGCCTGTGTAATAGCGCACACGATCAGACCGGGGCCTGAGAGACAGAACGGACACGATCACACCGGGGCCTGGGAGACAAAACGGACACGATCAGACCGGGGCTGAGAAACAGAACGGACACAGTCAGACCCACAAAACGGACACGATCAGACCGAGACCTGAGGGAAGGAACGGACACGGAACGGACACGATCAGACCGACAGAACGGACACGAAATTCTGCGCTTCCAGCAAAAATCATCCTTATCAGACAAAGGTTCACCGCCGGGGGCGTCACGCGCCGGCTGACCTTTTAACGTCTTCGTCTGGCCATCGGAGCTACCAACCGTCTCCTTGGCAACCGAAAATGACCGCGAGGTTTGAAGCATAATAAGCTAAAACTACAGAGACCTGTGCTTCCTATAAGTGAGCAATGCAAATAATTTTTTTCTACGTTTCAAACTCTTCTTCATGCGCTGCGTATTCTACCCTAGATTATATTCGTCCAGGAGCCATGGTCCAGTGCCGCCCTCTAGGGGCAAGTTGATGAGCTTTCGTACGGGGGCGTTTGGGCGCGGGAGAAGTGACCCAGAGCTGACCGAGAACTGAGAAGGGACTGTGCGTGTGCGTGCGGTGTCGAGATCGGCGATCGGGCTGCGCAGGTGAGCCATTTTAGGTGTGAGGTGACGTGTGAGGGTTCGGAGAGGCCGAAGTAACCATAGTTGCGAGGTATTATTTTGTGAGTGAGAAAGGTAGTGTGTCTACGATGGAGGTGCGATGCCTCGCAGCCCGTGACACTGGACAGCGGACAAAGGTCGTGATATGACACTTTCTGCGTGCGAACTTCGTAATCGGGTACTGTGAAGTACTCTGAGTGAGTGAGTGAGTTAGGTGAGTGGTTGAGTGGTGTGAGCGTTTGGTGCAAGTGTGAATATCGGTTGTTGGTGAAGAGGACCCCGACCGACACGTCTGCTCGTCTCGGAACATGACAAAGATTGGAGCTTCGGATCACGAACGGTCAGTCCGCTCCCGACTGGTTGAGCGGTTATTCAATTTCTATCGTGTGCAGTGTGTGCACACGATATCAGTGTCCGTATCAGTGTATCCAAGCCCGGACAGACTAGGCCCGCGTTTAAGTATAGACGAAGATATTTACCGGGCTATCAAAGGGTCCGATTACGAAACAGTATGATGTGCAATACTGCAATTGTGACGTAAATTACAGATGACATAACGGACAAAGAACTTATAATTCTAGGCTATTCTTAATCATTCGTTGTTTACTGTAAGCTGATGCATGCCTGCGATAGCGTGCTTGCTATTTTATATCTGAATCTAAGCGACACAAAATGAGGCCGTAAATGCGCAATGTAGGGACGCGGATGCCTACATTGAGCCACTGTGCATCTGCTATTCTTAATGCTGAAAGCCGGAGATCTTAACCCATATATGCATAGACGTACATAAATGTACGTCAATTTGAGTTGACCAATGTGTGCCATCTTTATAGAAATAGAGCTAATGAGCCATCAAACGCGGTCGTTCTAAATCATTTACATTGTTAGCCGTCAGGTGAATACCAAAAAACACGGTTCCAATGCATTCAGTGTTGAGTTTGAGACATTCGGTTTGTTGATGCCGCAACGGGAAGATTTTCACCCGTTCAGACGCTCGACCCAGGGTGAGCCAAGTGTTCTTAATTATAGTTAAGTGCTTTTCCCAGATTAGCTTTCGTTGCCAGCAATCTGCTCAAGCATGACCCTAACTTCATGAGTGGTGTCATTATAATGCTAATTTTGCTTACCAAGCGAATCCAAAAATAGTACGTTTCACAAAAACGCACGTACAATAATGTACGTCTATGCATATCCGTTACATTTTGTTTCCCAAACATCAAACACGTTTATGCTTTGGTTTGATGGCAAATGTGAGCCTCAACGATGTTCTGGATCAGGGCTGCGGGAGTCGATGGATTTTCAGTGACTCCGACTCCGACTCCGACTCCGGGTAGAACTATCGACTCCGACCGACTCCAACTCCGACTCCCGACTCAGCAGCCCTGCCAGGTCAGCGGAGTCGATGGGTTTGTCGGTGATTCTGACTCCGACTCCGGCTCCGGTTTCCAAAATCGACTCCGACTCCGACTCCGGTCAGAATTGTCGACTCCGACCGACTTCGACTCCGACTCCGACTCCGCAGCCCTGTTAAATCTGGATGGCATCGAGGAGCGAAGTCGAGTCGCCGATGTCACGGTCGTCGTCCTAGAGCCGCCGGAAGTTCGCGTCGACACAAACGAAGACTCTAGCGACGAAGAGAATGCTGAGCCAGCCCGCCTGACGTAACTGGTCTGAGCCGTAACTGACGTAACTAAGCCGTAAAGACGCAACTGAGCCCGTAACTGGTCGCACCCACCGGCTCAACCGGTTCGGGATGATTATGGATGTATGTCACTTCCAAAGCAGCACCAAGCTTGACCCTGATGATCGGTTTTGCAGCAGAGATCCAGAAGCGCCAGTTCCATGGCACGGGTACCATGTGAGGGAATCGCCTTCTGAAGGCGAACAAGTTCACCGACATCAACGCCTTCAAGAAGAAGTCCAATCAGACCATCGAAGCATTTACGACTGCCAACAACGGCTGCAGTGCGGCTGTTATCCGCTGGATGGACGTGGTCGAGGACCACGAGTTCCAAGAGGCCACCATGCCGTCACTGGGGAAGGAAGAGCCGGCCGACGCCCCTGGACAGACGCACCTCTCCGAGTTCTAAGTCGAGGGCGACCAGTCGCTCTGCTCCGTTGACCATGCCGGCGACTTTACGTCCGGCTGATGGCCGTCTTTAGTCATTACAGCGGGGCCACGCGCTCGGGACAGTGTCTGACGTGTACAGTGTGGGACGGGACAGGTGGTGCCATTACGACGACCGACGCGTCAGCTGCGTGGACGAGGCAGACGTCCTGGGCGAAGGCCCCCAGTGGAACGGCTACATCTTCTGTCTCCTCAAGAAGCTCTGCAGTCAGGTAGTCAGCATGGAGCGCGCCGGGCGCCGGACTGTGACTGCCACAGGGGAGCACAGGGTCACCGCGTCGGTGGCCAGCAGCAGAACGCCTCCTGATCGCCATTGACAACGTGCTCTTTTTATAGATCTACTATGTTGACTATTATGTACATAAGACAAGTTTTCAATAGACGGTAAAAGTTGACATAATTGAGTTGTGTTTTGCAAATTTCCTTATTTTCATCATACATGATCTACATCTATTTCCTAATTCAACGTATGAATTGTAACTACCATTTCCAAGGGTCTCTAATGCAACACAACATATCATACATCATATTTGACCATACAACACAAGTTATTCCCCTCGCCCAGGTTAACGATGACATGACGTCACCCTACCCCCTCCACAACCCCATCCCCATCCCAACCCATCCCTCATACATCGCTTCTGAAGTACGAAAGACGTTAGCATTGTATTAGGGATATCGGATGTATTATTTTAGGACGGCGGCGGCAGACGTCACAATTGTTTTGTTGACACCTGGCATAGACGTACATTTTTGTACGTCACTTTGAACGAGCATATCAGGCAAGCACTAAATGTAAAAACAAAGCAGTTGATGTCAGCAGCTTAGTAACATGTTGTTTAACAATGCTAGAAAGTTTCATACAAATACTCGACAAAAAATTAATTCATGCATATATGGGTTAAGTATCCTTTGAAGGCACCGCCTGCTTCCTTCATAACTCATCACGCAAACTGTAACTGGTCGATGGCGAGAACAGACTGCAAAGTCCTCCTTGCTCCGGATTCAAACACGCAAAAAATATTAATCTGACAAATACATAAGAGAGCTCCAACAGTCCGGGACGCTGGCGGATTATGTCAGCGCCCTCGTGCTGCGCATGCGACAGAGATGAGGACAGGTTTGTGACCCTCCAACGTCGCAGCGATATTCTGAACGCATGCGAGCAAAGGACCCTATCAAAGCGGCTCCCAGGTACGTACACATGCGTCATTCGAGGGAATCCTCCGGTCGGTAGCCCAACAGGTCTATCTGGTAGTTTGTTCAGCACAGAATGCCTGTATATTTGAATATCTGCAAAATCTTTGGGTCAAGGCGGAATGATCAATGTTGCATTCCCGAAGATCACGACCGATGAAGATGGAAGTGAATCTAAACTCGATGAATAGTCAATCCGGCATTTGCACACGATTCGCTGCTATAAACGTCTCCGAACCTGTCATTTTTTTGTGCGTAAATGCACTCATTGGAGGTTGTGGTTGTATGAATATGAATAACACTAAGATGGTTGTAGGATATTGACCAAGATTGAACAAAAAATAGACATCTGTTAGATTCGATCGCCTTATGAAGGAATGAGCTGGACTCATAATCTGACAATCTGATCAACTCATCTGACCTATCACGCGCCAGTGCACCCACACCCAGGAGATCCTCTGGCAGTCCCTGTCGTGACCTCCGTCCTCACCGCGCCGTCCCTGCACCCATCCGTCAGCCGTTCGGCCGCCACGGCCGTGCTCCACGTGCTGGCCACCCCTTCCGATCTTGAACTTGGCCTTTCACCGCGCGGCGTTGGGTAAGCGGCTTGTTGTCGCCATTGCTATGCAGCTACGGCCGGCCGGGCGGGCGTCCCGCTCAGCTTGGCGCGGGGGTGCCGGCCGGCTGACATGCCGCGCGTGCCGGTCGCTCGGCGACCCTGGCCCACTCCGTGCCGCCGGCAGCTCGGCGCCAGCACCTCTGACGCCGAGGGGTGCCGCCGAGGACCCGCCGAGGCGCCCTCCGAGGTGCCCACTGCTCTGTGGCCCCCGTGACCTGACCTGCCGGCCGTGCAAGCCGTTTGGCCGACCCTGGGAAGTCGGTCCGGCCGGCCGCTGAGACGGGCGGTCCGGGACAGGCTGTAAAGTTGACACCCGCTGTCGGCTGCGACTATTAAGTACGGCCGTAGATCAGACTCTCGGCACACTGCTGGCAGGTGGATACCGGCGGCTGGACGGGCGTGTAACGACGTCCGCCCGGGCTGACCAGCTTGGGTCGTTAGAAGACGGTTTGCAATTCTCATGTAAGCACATCACATGCCTTGAAGTTCACGCGGAAGCTCGAAGCATTACGTTTATTTGCTCCTTATCAAAGCCCAAGTCCCAGCAACGAGAACGCTTTTTATTTCGTTAAGCTCTTAAGCCGGTTCGTGCTGCATCATCCTGTCCCAGCGCGTTTTCCACGAGTTCTTGATGAAAAACATCGTCTTCCATGAGTCCTTACTGCGCACACATCAACGAGCAGCAGTAGCTGTGCCATATAGGACCTCACGGTACGTCAGAAAGGCGCAGCGACTATTGTTTTGTTCTCAGCAACTGCACGGCTCCCTCCCAACTCGGTACTATCTTCGCGTCTAGCACAACCCTGTCCCAACCTAGCGTCCACCACATCACTATTTGGTCCCACGCATCCACGCCTGTCGGGACACCCTACCGTCTCACCTAAACCCACTATCACGCTACCCTCTGCCCTGGTCACGTCTCCCCGACAAGTCTTTCCTCCGGCGCGGCGTGTCCCGCGCCCGTCCTGTCCTCGCAACTCCGGCGCCCGTCCTGTCCTCGCGACTCCCGCGCCCGTCCTGTCCTCGCGTGTCCGGCGCCCGTCCTGTCCTCTGGCGACTCCGGCGCCCGTTCTATCCTCGCGTCTCCGGCGCCCGTCCTGTCTCCGTCGCCGCTGAGCCTGCTGAGCCGCCGCGGCGTCAGCTAGCCGGCGCCAGCTCTGTCCCCGTGACAAATCGAGGCATTGCCATGCAGAGGCTGATGCATTCCGCGAGGCCCCGGCGGCCGACAGAGCGTCTGCCCGATACACCAGGTCGATGGGGGTGCGGGAGCCGGTGCCAGGTCACTGCGGCCGCTTTGGTTCGTCCCCTTGAATTCGGAGAGAGGCCGCACATGCCTGCCTGGCCCCCCGAGGCCTCCCGAGGTCGGCATGTATGGAGATGATCAGAGATTGATGTGGAGGGAGAGAATGTAGGTAGGTTAGTAGGATGATAAGAGTGATCTGGAGATCGGGACAATGTGGTGTGATTGGCCGTGGCCGCGCGGGAGTACGATGTGCGATGTGCAAGGTGCATGACAAATCTCAGTTGTTAATCTATAGCGAGGGTGGAGGCAGACGAGATGTGTAGCTGTTCAAAGATTAATGCATAACAAACGGCCTTTGATGCGTTGAGGCGTCTTTTATGCTACTTCACTTTTTAAATTAGTTTCATGTCTCTTGACTGAAGATGAGATCCAGCTTGAGATATGATTTCGTTATAGGGTCCAAAACTTGTATGAACACATTTACCTTAGCGGCTGTGGCATAGTCTCCCCCCCCCCCCAACGCACGGTTCGCGTCGAATAAGATATCAACGTCAGCGGGAATCAATTTGGCACGTATATTTTGTCGCAATAGTTTCGATGAACATTCCTAAGTGGCTCTGCTATCTAGCCTTGTCAGATAACAGTCGGCTTTGTGTGGAATGTTACCGTCTACACTGGAGATCAGTTACAACACATACAACAGCGGAGCCTGTGGAGGATATTCTGGATTAAGTACCGGCTGCTCTCAGAGATACCACTAACTCATCATCGGTAGAATACTGCTAATTTGTGTTACCCATATTGGGAAATCATGCAACACGTCAGAATGTTTACCCAACACGTGTCTGGCATAGTTTGTGCTCACTCTCCAGCAGCATCCTCGTATAAATCAACTGCAAGATATATACCCATTATTGATAATTTGCAGCTGTCGTGCATCATAGCTGGACAAACTAATATGCATTCATGGCTGACGGCCAAACATGACATAAATCTGACTTAGCTATTGACTGCGCAGCGCGCATGGCGGAATGCGCCGTAAATATTTGTCATTCTCTCCGCTTTGACGTGCGCTAGCCGGTAAATCGCATCCGGGAGCTAAAGATGCTAAATTCGGCTGATTTTATGAGCGACAACATAATATATTTTTTATTCCTGTGAGCACCAAACTCCGTGATTTTCACTTTTTCCTGAGAATCAGTGTTTTAAGGTACTGACCCAAGGGACTGACCTTTTCGTGGCGTCGCGGCGGACTGTGCGGAGCCAAGCGGACAGCACACTCCTCTGCTGATGCAGGGGGTGTTACAGGGACTCTTGAGAGCCTGCGCCACGTCGGCATAGTTGCCCTGTAGGTCCTGGATGCGCCTGTGGACAAACGGGGTGATGCTGTCAGAGGGATTGAGAGGAAAGGAATAGGCACGCATGAGACACCTGACTGGCAATCGGAACCTTGCGATCGCTGTCGTTAAGTGACTGCATTGCATGAACTACATACTAACACCTTATAAAATGCAAAGCTACCACGGCTCCTATCACATGTTACTATTCTTTTTTTAATGAATGCAGCTAGGTCAACCTAGAAATTCTAACCATGTTGCTACAATAAATAGCCAGTTACTGAGCCATTGGAATCTCCAAACGCCTCCGATCTATCCGTCACACTCACTTGCAGACTCCGAGCTTGCCCTCGAAGGTGGTACACTTGCCCAGCGCCACCGGAGCCGGCTGGAAGCCGCCGATGTTCCGCTTGTGCTGCTGTGAGTCGCAGCTGTGAGCGGCCAGCGCCACCAGAGTACACACGAGCAGCGACCTGAAGTACAGGGGAGCGTGGGGCGTCAGGGCTTAGGAACAGATGGCTCATTAGTTGGACTATCTTCATAACGTATTCATATGGTCTCATTTTTTATCATTGTTTACTACTATTTTATTACTTTTTTACTGACTGATGTGGATTGCTGTGGAGCGTCTTGTCATATGTTCGCTGTTGGCTGCACATTGCGCTTACCGAACAAACAGACTACTTGCTTTGTGTTTGCTTTCCTCTTGTTTGCTTCGTTTTTAATTATCGAACATTTGTCATGCTACGCTAGACATTCGGGGGCGGCGTATTTCTGAAACCGTTTGGTGGCAGCATCTTTAACAGCAGTTTGGTCGGTAATTACGGGCCAATTAAAACCTAAGCTGGGATGGAATGACGGACACAACTGCCTTCAGTCAAACTATAAGACGTACGACATTGTCAATAATCTGCCAGTAATTGGTGGTAAATCTTTTTAACGACCCAAGGAGCGACGACTGCGGGTAGCTGAACTCCAGAACGGCGCCGATGACTCGTATAATGCGTGTCGTGGTGAGTCACCCCCATAGCGTGCGGTGAACAAAATACCATTCCGTGTTTGGTCAGAGGAAATTACGTCATGTAACAGAAGGATTCATACTTCATAGAAGGCATTCTTAACGATTTAAGCCCGAATTTGAATTATCTTGAACGAATTGGGTAAAACGTCATTCAAAAGGAGAAGAACAAGCTACAGACCGCATGCACCGTCCCGGGAATGAGATCTACATAATAACACACCGAAAAAGTTCAATAAGCAAATGAGTGACACTCATCCGTTCGCATGCTAGCGACATGCGTAGACGAGGCGTCATAGCTTTTATACTGCTGTGTACATTGACCATAAATTTATGTACTTATGCAATTGACAACTGGGAAAAACGTCTGTCTTGTCAAGGTCGTTGCAGCAATGCTTGGAATGTATGCGAGGCCGATCGTTTCAGTCAAGGCTAGCTGTAGCGAGAATAGGAGAATTGCGATAAAATCGTGCCATGATATCATCGATTGCTTGATGCATCATTGCACTTCTCTGGGAGGCCCTCTATGCTGGAATTTAGGTTCGAATAAATTATGCAAGAAATCTCCGATATGAATATGCAAACGATGTAAGTAGTGGGTAGTGGGTCTGGGTACTGAATTTATCAAGTACGCCTGTTATTGCAAGAAGAAACAAGCAAATGGTGGCATCAGCCCTCAATTAAATAGGCATTGATTTATATCAAAAGGACACTGGATAGCATGAATTATCACAAAACACCATGCATGTCTAACATGTGTCCCGTTGTCTCCTCCGAGCTGCATTCGGTTCACGCAGCAAAGCCGTATCCAGGGTCGGCTGCAGGGGTGGCGGTCGGACCACCAGCTGACCACCCTTGGTGTCCGCTTTGGCCGCACCTTGTTCAACCGCAGGGACAGCTCAGCTGGCTGACAGACCGCTATAAATGTCTACACCATCCCACGACTGATAATACCAGCGGGAAAGGTGCACGGCGGCCCCGAACTGTCCACCAGCAGTCAGTTGAGTTGGTAGGTGGGTATAGTTGAGAGAGAGAGAGAGAGAGAGAGAGAGAGAGAGAGAGAGAGAGAGAGAGAGAGAGAGAGGGGAGGGAGAGAGAGGGGAGGGAGAGAGAGGGGAGGGAGAGAGAGGGGGAGGAAAAGGGGGAGAACAAGAGATAAAAGGAATCTTGAGGAGAAGTGAACACGAAAAAGAAGAGAAAATTGAGACAACAGTCAAGAAGCTTGGGCCAGCGAGCGGATGAAAGGATCGAAAGAATCTGAAAGAATAACGTTATACATAGTTAGAAGCGTCGCAAGGATTGGGCCGATTATTGGTTATTGTTCCTGGTACTTCCGATTCTTTCATCCCCTTTAGCTGGCTCACACTTCTTCACTTCGGTCTCAATTTTCTTTTATTCTTATTTTTAGCTTAAACAAAGTAGAAAAAATATTTATCAATTCACTGAAACTATTGAGATACGAGAATATCTCAATAGTTTAATTAGAAAGTATAATTATAGAAAGTATAATTGGTGCCTAGCGTAAAAAAAAACGACACGGCCGCAGCACGGCAGCCGTAGCTGTGGTTGAAAAAAGCCGTAGCCGTAAAAACAATTTTCCCCATTTAAATCCACTGCGGTCGCACTAAGTGTCAGTTCTTAGCTCAGACCATCGGTCTCTCTGAGCTCTGCAGTGATTCCACCAAAAGCAACTCACCGCGCAGCTGTGGTCTGTTCGTGCCTACTCTATAACCCGCCCGGCCCTCCTCGGCTCTGAAGAGGCCTCCGTACCAGTCGGGTAGAGCCCCGCTCAGTCGTCTCCGTCAACCTGCACTGTTTGCTCATGGTGACGTGGGCCACGGTGAGCACGAGGGGTGGCTACAGGTCTACCCGGACGGGCACGGCCCACGACTCAGCACCGACGCACCGCGACGCGCCCCCAGCGGGACAAGGACGAATCGGGCGGCCTCACTGCAGAACGGTGACGGCATCCTCTCTGGCAGATGCAGGGTGGTGCCGCTGTCACTGCCGAACGGCCTTGGCGGTCGAGCGATGTCAAAGATAAAGACACACGTGTACTTTGCTGAGCTTAGTGGTGCCTTTATGAAGAGGTCAGAGAGTAGGTGGGGCAGGACGATGAGCTGACACCTGTCCGCTGGATGCTACGCTGCTATCTATGACAGAACATGATTAGAGCCCTGTATGTGTTGTGTTTGTGTGGCAATAACTAATGCAAATCAAATCGTTGTCATTTGTATTGAAGCTTGAAGCTGTCAGCCGTCAAATGGACCGATGTGTTAACCTCCCTAGCTTGTAAGTGCATTGCTTTGGTATTGTGTAATCACCCATGCTACATTGAGCCAACAATTAACATTTTTATTTCTTCGCACTCATTGATTCGGCAATGGTATGGAGCAATGCTATCTTTCAAGTAATTGATTCACAAATCGGTCACAAAACATTTCCTCACTTCTTTCTATACTGTCGAACAACAATATTTTACGAGCTCAGCTCATGGGCCAGACGCCGAGGACACGCACGACCTGACAGTCGCTCGGCGTTACTAATATGTCCTGCGCAGTTTTGCATAGATAGACGGCCGAGCGCAACCCCTGCATCCAATCAGACTGGATGGCAACTGCAGGACCTGTCCTTGACACCTGTCTTTAGCCAGGCGACTTGAACAGAACCACTGCGCAACTGCTGCGCCGAATAGCCCATGTGTCGATGGAGGTCGAGCTTCTGATACACTCCGAACAGGGTGCATTGGTAGAGGTCGAACTTCTGATACACACAAGCCGCCTGTGTCGGTGCAGAGGCCGAGCTCCTGATAGGCACCGAACCGAGGCGGGGACATCGACAGACTGCAAAACACCTATGCACTGTATGGATTGTAACGAGTCGTGACATTCACGATACCAGTGTTGCATGCATGGGATGCAATTGACGGTATAGGGTAGTCTGCAGTACATCTGCAACAAGAAGTGCACCACATCATTGAATTTACCTCCTCTGCTGACTCTTATTAGCACCTTCTCAGAGCCAATATCCATTCATCTACTGCGGGCAGTGGCTGTGCAGTGCACTGACATGCATCCTTGAAATGAGGGGGAGGCACCTTAGCCCACGCCATGGATTCCCTCCCTCCCCCTCTCGTCCGGCCGACCAGTGGTGATCAGAACACGAATCAGGTGACGCCCGGGACTGGCCCCTTCTCGGAACAGTGCCGTTCTCCCCACTGGTACCGAGGTGAGGTGGAATGGGGTCTGGTGGCCTCAAGGCTGACGGTCAAGTCAGGGTCGGACTTAAAGAACAGATAGGACCTGCTGGATTTCAATTAAGTGCAGATATAATTAATGACGAAAGAAACATGACCTGGCTGACTCTATGTAAAGTTAGTCATTGGCACATTTTCTACAACCATCAGGGAACAAGTGTGCCAGTGCTACCTTACACGCCGCACATTCTGAAAATAAGCGCATTTTCATACACGACTGATAATCAAGCCGAGGAGAGGATTGCTTTGGGGAAATATGCGCAATACCGGTTTGTACCGGTACCTGCGTATTTTTGGTCTCCAGCCCATTGATTACGCAATATCCCGCTCGTGAGGGAAGTGGTTTAGGTCCAAGCAGTTTCACCTGTTACGCGAATGCTTCTTACTGGTATTCAGGCATTCTCTGTGGGAAGTTATTTGAACATCCATAAAGTTATTAAAAGATAGATAGATAGATAGAATAAATTTATTACCTTAATCAGAACACGTACAAAACAATGCTTGCCAATTGGTGCAAAAGCAATATTGCTTAAATCGCAGCACCTTTCGGCTCTTACGTGCTATCGCCCGAGTCGGATCACCTCACCACTGCACGCACGCCCGCGCCGCAACCGCAGCGACCGCCGCCACGCCGCCGCCACCGCCGCCGCCCCGCCCGACCACTCCGGCTACGGCCAGGCCCGAGGGGCCAGCCCGCCAACCCGATAGACTACCTGAACCGTCCTGTATCGGATAAGAATTTTTGAAAGAGCTGGGCCACCACTCGGTCGCCACCTCCCGCAGGACTGGGTCCATTTAATAACAAAGTCAGCAACTTAGAGGAGCGGAGAACAGGAACGTTAATTTCTAGATGGATACTCAAGGCTCTAAATAGGCGATCACGAACATTTCGGTAAAGAGGACAGTCTAAAAGAAAGTGACGAACAGTTTCACTGGGTGACCCGCATTGACATTGAGGGGAATCAGAAAGCTGTAGGGGGAAAAGGTGAGCGTTGAGCTGAGACATCCCGACCCTAAGCCTAGTGTGAACCCTGTTCCCAAATTTGGTACCGTAGGAGAAATAGTGAGGAGGGGGAGGGGTTCCCAAGTGCTTAATAAGGGCCTTTTTGAAACGTTTAATGGATGTTTCACTGCGGATGTAATTAGGAAGTGTGTTCCATAGCTTGGTGGTTAATGGCACAAATGAGTTTTGAAATAAC